AATTCTCACTTGGTTTTACTCTCCGGGTATTACTAAACCGATAACATCATGCTATTATATAAAACAATAACATATCCATTCTTGCGGTAGGGATCTATTCTGTATCAACTACCGCACCATTCATTACTCTGATATATTCATTTTGTACCTATATAGCACGCTAATCTGCAGGTGCTATTTAAAGTTACCGTGAATCATTTTACTCATATGATCATAAATTATACCGTTGGGTTTAATTTTTATATGTGTAGAAACAATTACTTCAAGGATGTATTAATTTTATTTCTGCGTTAAAAATGTTGTATGTTTTATATTTGTTTTACCTTTGTCAGCCACATTGAAATGGTTATAATAGTATAAATAATGGTAACTATGAGTATAACCTGTCCGTAAAATGAATAGACTCGATTTTTATCGTATCTGCCACGTACTGTGTTCAAAATCTCGATGTGGAAGAAGCTTTGTAGCGTATTTCTTTAATTACATGACACGTAGCAAATTGTTAATGCACTATAGTTTTTGAGAACTTTTTATTACATGGATAGCAGATGTTTGTAGATATAAATAACTGTCTAAAATTTTATATTTATTGTGTTGTTTCAAAAATTATCGATGGTTAGAGAAATTTTAAGCATGCAAACTACTTTTTTTACCTTTAATGCTAGTGTAATAATGGGAGAACAGGAATATTACATTATAAATATTGATTCCTGCTTGTTTACATGCTGGCATTTACTTTATTATCACAAAAAATCAAGGTTTACATAGTTTCCTTTGAAATTGATTCAATTGTAGCGACAGTGCAAAAAAGTTTGTGAAGTCTTTACAAAATCTTTTATGATACTGTTATTTGTTGCGGAATAAGTAAATTGTTTTCCGTATCGCTTTACTTCCTATTTGTGGACACGTGAACGTCTGCACTTACAAACTGCGCGTACCGAACCTTCGTCTTTACTTTCTAATATATTTATGCTCATGTTCTAAATAAATTCACACTAGCACGCTACGTTTTATGTACCATTGCAATATATTAAAATATGAATCTTAAAACGAGTGAAAATACGTTGTTAGAAGTGTTAAATGAAATTTGGATTTAACCAGATGTGATTCTTCATTTTATTAGAATAACGAAATAAAAATGGGTTCAGAACGTGTTTTTATAATGTATGAATTTATCAAATGGACCTAGAATAAACGACAAACCTTCAAATACATACATAATTATAGAAATAAAAGTAGTTAGATAAAAAGCCGATAAAGATAAACAAGGGTGGAGTGCGCTTGGGTTTACGTCAATGAGGGTCGCTAAGGGTGTGGCAGGGCAGCATATGTACAGAGTTCTTTCAAGGTGGCCATGATTGATATACTCCATTTGCAACTAAATATATTAGTATTAATGTTCATAACATAAGTTCATAACATAAGTAATGACGTTTATATACCGAGTTACGTATGTATTATATGGTATAGCCGGTCATTTGAGAATTGAATGGTTACCTTAGAAATTTTTAATCACTGCAGTCGTCCGTGGAAAAGTGGCTTACGTATTAAGTATCGATCACCGTTGATATGTGGACGTCAATGGTGTTTATTCTACAAAAGCATTTCCCTATCTGCAATTTTATCGGTAACTATTCACATTGTCAGTTAATGACGCATGTAATAGTTAAATTATTTTTAAGGTATGTTGTATTATTGGTTTCACCTTTACACTCTCTTATAAAGCTACAAATGATGTTGTCCTAAGCGACCAGTCTGCCTTATTAAGGTAAGGCACGTCAACAAAACGGGATAGGTCACGTTAAATATTTGCCAAACATGTCGTAGATTGCAGAGACTATCGAGGTCAATACAAACGTAAATCTGAATTTTTCCCTTTTAGGTACACCTTTAGGTATCTCTAGGGCGGAATCCGATAAGTTGCAACTGTGAATTATTCCTACTATCATAATTCCTTAGATTTTCGTTTAATTAATATAAAATCTATAACAATTGAAACACAGCGGACAACCATGTTTCATTACGTACATGTGTAGAATCGTAATAATATTTTCAGAATGAATGTTAACTATACGATCCAGTACACGAGAACTCAACCGAGTACTTGGTAACGATATTTTAATTAGCTGGTACTAATTAAATGATGGAAGTCGCTAACGTTTTGAAAACAACGTACGTTACCAGTATATTTTATGGAATAGCTTGATGTTGTAAACTTCTTGGTAGTAGTAATTCCCACGTAGACATTCGGATGTTATTGATACATGTACTTACTCGTTAAGATAAACACCTGCAGTGAAGGTCTGATGTACCTAAAGTAATAATGAACATAGGCTAGTAGTTTTCAGTTTATAATTGATTGTTGAGTGCCAGAGAGTAGGTCGTGGTGGCCCGGAGATTGGAGTCCGCTTCTCATGCATGAGGTTCGAAACCTAGTGATATTTTCCGAGTTATATGTACTTTCTATGATTATTTAGACACCACTGACATACGGTGAAGGTAAACATCGTGAGGAAACCTGGACTTATAATTTCTAATTATAAGTTTGAAATAGCCAACCCGCATTGAGCAAGCGTGGTGATTAATGCTCAAAACTTCTCCATGTGAGAAGAGGCCTTTGCTCAGCAGTGGACTCTTATTTGCTGATGATGAGTTATTTTTACGTTAATGCGATCGAATTGTTACCGCGAGCCCTCTGATTGGTTGGTTAACTTGGAGCAGGCTAATAAGAGCTCTGAATTTCATAAATTTGTTGGTCGTGGTGACGTAAAGCAAGCTCGCAATTGACCGACACTTTGTTAGTTGATTTGTTTTAAGGTATCTTCTTGTTATACGTACGTACGTTGTAATTTGCCTTAATTAATGCTATGCTTTGATAATAATTAAACAGTTAGACTGATATCTAGAAACCGTACCCATGATGGTTCTAATACTTAAAGTAAGCTTCCAAGTCCACTTCTCTAACCACATAAAATTAACTTATGAACCTTATTGTCCAATAAAAAAGTTCTTGGCCATGCCAATAGCAAAGATGTAAAAGTATAAAAAAGATACAGGTGTATTTGGCAATGGACTTACAACTCCGATTTAATAGGCAATCCTGGGTTACAAGTGATAGGAATACATTATACTTAACATAAAACCTACGTATTTGTGATATATTTATAAATACTTACAATATATTTAACAAAATATTTTAATGCTGTTGTGTTAGTCAATTTAAACAAATACGTGTACTGTAATACTGTGCAGAAGATTATCGATAATGTCATTTTATGATTCACGTCGCTATCTACATTTTCATCATTGCTACTAAGTCCTATCGCATACTTCAAAGTGGAGGTGTAAAATGTGTTTAACGCGTGCCAATACGTTAAACGCCTGTTAAAGCCTATAAAATAAACCAGCAACAATTGCTAATCGTCGCGTCGTTTGGATGTCTGCCCACTCAGGTTCGACCAAGAGGAATATAAAAGAAAAAACGGCCAAGTGCGCGTCGAATCGAAGAAAATTTATAGGAGCCCCCTTAAATATGCATTAAATTTTATTGTTACAATGTCTGTCCAAATTTTAACTGTCTAGCTATCACGACCAATAAGATACAGCCTAATGACAGACGGACAGACACAAGAGCCCTGTGTCTACAATTTCTTTTTGGTCATTTAGTGATCATTATTTGTCAAAACACTCTAAGAGCCAATTTTTTTTATTGGGGCCAAGTTAGGTATTTCTACACCTACATGCCTTTGGGGTGTAACATAAAAAAATTGTTCTTGTCCCACAGGAGTGGTCCAAGGGGATTTCTGAAAATAAAAAAGTGCAATGTAGGTCCAACGGTAATATACACACCTTTGTTTTGGATTTTTATAATTACCTACTGACCTTTATATTTCTTATGATCATATTACTACTACTGGAATGCCACAGTTGCTTTACACATTTAACCGCACATTGGATACCAAATGTACGCTGGTATTACCATATTAAATAGAAGCCACGGCAATTGATTCCCGCTAACGCGCGCATTCAATTCGTCCGGCTCCTTTGTGTCCAAAATCTATATTTTGCTCTTTGGCTATAGTGGCGGTGCTGTGAAGTGAGTTACCCAAGCGTAAACAAATGTGCCACGCGTCTAACCCCGTGTCGCATGCCGCACCTGCTTATTTCTCGTAAAAGCTTTTTCAACCGTTTGATAGATTGTACTTATCACAAACAAGAACATCATTTCTTTCTCGACGTGTAAGCTGTTTTCTGTAAGACCAAGACAAAAGTAACTTACTCAAATCGTTAAATGTTTGTATTAAGCTGGGCTTACTTAATATTTACAGAATCTTTCGGGTACAGTTTCGGTTTTTGCTTACATTTCGGAAGGGTCGAGCTTAGTTCATAGTTCGCAGACCGCCGACAGTTAATTATGCGAAAACAACTTGCACTTGACCGGTTTTAATTATCTGTAACCTTGTCAGAAAAATGATCTAGACGGCCAAGATTTTTATGATAAAAATGATTTATTTTTACTAATTTATTTAAACAGTTAAAAAAAACTAATGGATCATGGGAGACGTAATAATACTTACAGGCTTAACAATTATATAGACCCGGAAGGTTAGTTTTCTTCCTCAGCTGGTGAAGTGTTTAAACAAATGACCTAGATTTGCTTCTTTTGAAAGTCTTTTAACTCGTGTATAGAATTGACTGGTGTTTGGATACTTTGTTACGAAGTAAATTACTATGATTCGTCTAACAACGCTCACGCCACCTATTTATTACGGTCTGCGAAATGGATTCGTTTACGTCACCGCACACTCAATTGCATTAGAGAGGCCATTCAAATAGTGCTAGAATTTCTTTTAGATTATGTTTTCTATGGGTTTTACGGGCACGATATAATTTCTAGAAACTGAATTTATTTAGTGATTATTTAAAAAAACAAAACATCCTTTGCCCTAAATGCTTATGTCAAATTGTAGTATTTAAAATAGAATTTAATCATGTTTCAGGCAAGGACGGCTCAAAGGTGACGACTGTTGTGGCGACGCCGGGGCAAGGCCCCGACCGGCCACAGGAGGTGAGCTATGCTGACATGAAACTCATCGGAAACGGCAGCTTCGGCGTCGTCTATCAAGCCAAACTATGCGACACCGGCGAGCTTATTGCCATCAAAAAGGTGCTCCAGGATAAGAGGTTTAAGGTAAGTTTAGTACAATTATCTTTATCAGTTACATTTATTCACTCATTGTTTTAGTTAATGAAAGGAAATGCTTTAGCTATTTCCATTTCAATAATAATAAAACATCTTATTGATTATATCGTAGAATATATACTAAACAAAACTAGTTCAATTGTGTAAAACACATGTTAATATGCATGCATAGCTGGCGTGCTCGGCATGTTACGCCTTCAACTTATTAATATATTAGTAGGGCATTGTTAATTTACTAATAACGTCTTACATTACAGAACCGAGAACTTCAAATCATGCGACGACTGGAGCATTGTAATATTGTCAAATTGAAATATTTCTTTTACTCCAGTGGAGAAAAGGTGAGCATGTTAAATTTAGAAAATTATAAGTAACTATATCTATTTATTTATTTATGTGTCTAATAATTTTCTAGACTATTTAATTTCTAGTAGTTTTGGATCTAACTTCTGGTTTGGACCCACCTTACTATAAAACCCTCTATAATATTATGTGTACTTTTCAAGGGTCTACAAACTAGAAAGGAGATATCTCATTTAGCTTAATGGTTTGGTTACTATAATATTGTTTATATTTTCTTGTATTATATGTTAGGTTAGGTGCTGGTAGTCCTTGCTTATGCGCATCATTTAGGTGTACTATTTGGACCGTTTACTTATCCAATGTTACTATGCAATGAATTTTATAAAATATTTATTATGATATGAGACATCTCCTTTGAGCCCTATTTCTTCAATATGAGTAACTGATTTACTTTGTATTATGATGTGATCAAGTTACCTTTAGTCCGCTTTATTAAGGTGTATTATTTGTGTGTTTTATTTGGGGGAAGGCGGCAGTGCCCGCAGCAGTGAGCTCAATGTTAAACGCAATGCAGTCTCTTGATGTCGCAGTACGTTTATGAATCAATTAGATTGTTGCGCTAGTGTGCTAACGCACAAATTAGGCCTTCCTATTCAGGCTGCAATTACCGAACAATATTTTTTTAGTTCTAATTGCACTAGAATAAGTTTTGCAATGAAAAAATATCGGTCGGTAATTATATTATTGAAGCCTGTCAAACAGTTGTGTGCATACATGATTTGTTGAGAGCAAGTCTTAACCACGTCATGAGCCGTAATCTTTCAGCCATGAGCTTCTACATTTGATCAGGTCGATGCCCACAATGTTCTTCCACCATCATCTCATATACTTAACTTGTTCTGTATTGCGTCATATAAGATGTGTTCTATGATTTTAACTGATGCTTGCTTGATACATTTTGTTTTCTTACAGACAGCTTTAGTGTTTCATTGCCATGTACGTGGTTTATTTTGCACTCGCCTGTGAAATCAGAAAAGTCTTTGTAACGCATTTACACGCACACTAAAAATGTTGAGAATGTTTCTTTACCATCTGGTGAAAACAATCAATTAGATCGGATGTATATATTTAGAGTAGGTAATGTCTGCTTCGAACTTGTCCCTAATATATCTCACCTACCTATATGTGACGTAGTTGTTGGAATAACAAAAATCAATCTACTCATTATTCTCACGCCACTATTATAAGTGCCTTAAGTGGCCAGCTAACCCTCACTGAGATGTTTGCATCTCGCCCTCTTTCTGTTCTGCTAACGCCTTCAGGCAACACACACCTCCTAAAGTATAATAATAAATTCCACCTCTGCTATTTGATAAATAAACTTAGTTTTATTTCATCAACCCAAACCTAACAGGTTATGGGCCCAGTGCACCAGTGCACCAGTGCAGTGCAGTAAAGTACAGTGTAAATAATAATTACTAGAAGTATCGTAAATACTTTTGAAAGACAATTAATAAATTTTAAGTGACTTTATTTTTATAAATATACTGTGAAATTAAAATCAGTGAAAATGGACAGCTCCAACTTAAAACGGAACATTAAACAATTCGACGGTGCAAGATATAGTGTTTGGAAATTAAGAATTCATAATCTATTAAGTGAACGTAATGTACTTCATGTAATTGATGAAGAATTGCCAAACGAACCTAATACTGAGTGGATTAAAAGTGTCAAAATAGCGAAAAATATTTTGGTAGAATATTTATCAGACACTTTACTCGGTTTAGTTACTGAACAATTTTCAGCTAAAGACATTTTCAATAAATTAGATATGATATATGAGCGAAAAAGTACATCTAATCAGTTAACTTTGAGAAAACAACTTCTCAATATGAAGTTTAAAGAAGACCAATTAGTAAAGCATTTTCAAAATTTTGATGATTTAATATGCGAACTAGTATCGGCGGGAGCAACGTTCTCGTTTAACGAACGATAAAATAACGCATTTATTCATGACACTACCCAACTCTTATAATAGTGTTATTACTGCGATCGAAACTTTAGCCGAAGAAAATTTAAACTTGACGTTCGTGAAAACTAGATTGCTAGACCACGAAATTAAACTAAACAATGAAAATCGAGTTACAAGTTTAAAAGTATTACAAGCTAAAACTACGTCGTTTTCAAAAACAAATAAATTACCAAATGCGACCTATCATCAACAGAAACGGGGTCAACAATTATTTAATAACAGATTTAAAAGAAATTATAAGTCTAAAAACGTGAAATGTCACCATTGTGGAAGAAAAGGTCACATTATGAAAAACTGTTATTACAACAAGATGGCAACTGAACGGTTTCAAAAGCCTGAATACCATCGAACAATACAAGTAGTGAATACGGAAACAACTGATCCAAATGTATCCGGATTTGCATTTATGGTAGGAGCAAATGCCATAAAACGTAATAACCAAGAAACCATTACATTTGTGCTGGACTCTGGCGCTTCAGACCATTTCATCAACAGGCCAGATTTAGCGAAAAGTTTACAGAGAGAAAAACCAGTAAATATCTCCGTGGCGAAGAACGGTACTTACATACAGGCTACAAGAAAGGGAAACTTACCGGTTATTAGTAACTTGGGATTAAAAGGCATATTGCAGGATGTTTTATTCTGTAAAGATATTCCATACAACTTGCTTTCAGTAAAGAAAATGCAAGAAGCTGGTATGACAATTATTTTTGGCAAAGATGGAAGCGTACAAATATTCGACACGGGTAAGACATTGGTAACAAAGGGTGAGTGTTTGAACAATTTAATTGGAATTAACTTTTTACTTGAAGGGTCTGTTGTGTGTTCTTTAAATAGAGTCGTAAATAACTATGAATTGTGGCATCAACGTTTAGGCCACATTAGTAAATCAAAATTTATGCAAATAAAGCATAAAGAAATGTTTTCTGATATAGAGAAAATAAGTCATATTAAGCCATGTGACAACTTATGTGAAGCTTGTATTTATGGAAAACAAGCATGTTTACCATTTAACAAATCAAAGCCAAAGGTAACAAAACGACCACTATTTAAGGTGCACACAGATGTTTCGGGTCCCGTCACTCCTTCGACACTTGACAACAAAAACTATTTTATCGTTTTTGTTGATGAATTTACTCATTATTGTGCAACATACTTATTAGCTCATAAATCAGATGTTTTTACTGCTTTTCGGGATTATGTAATAAAAAGTATGGCACATTTTAACTTGAGTATTGTCAATTTATATTGTGATAATGGTGGTGAATATTTATCGAAAGAAATGAGAGAGTACTGTGTTACAAAAGGTATAAGCTACCATTTAACAGTGCCGCATACGCCAGCTTTGAATGGTGTAGCAGAAAGAATGATAAGAACATTAACAGAACGCAGTCGGGCTATGGTGTCCGGTGCGAAATTAGAGAAAACATTCTGGGGTGAGGCTGTGTTAACTGCTACTTATCTAGTAAATATCACACCCACAAAAGCACTGAGAGTTGATAACACACCATTTGAATTGTGGCATGGTAAAAAGCCGCAACTTAAGTATTTGAAAGTCTTTGGTTCAACTGTTTATTTTAATAATAAGACAAAAAGACATAAGTTTGATGAAAAGTCATCAAAAGGTATCCTGGTTGGATATGAACCAAATGGATATAAGGTGTGGTTACTGGTAGACGAAAGGTTTGTGAAAGTCAGAGATGTAATAGTTGATGAGATTAATTTCTTATCAAGTAGGCCAGTTAAGCCTAAAGGAATTATGAGTAAAAATTCCATTAAATCTGACGGGCACTCCAATGATTGGGAGGTGCAAAAATCTGATAAGGTGAAATCAGATAGTTGTATGAGACAAACGTTCGAAATACCTATGTCATTAGATCCACCATCTAATAAATCTGTAAGTGAAACAGATGTGTACTCAGACTCTACATTTCCAAATGAATTGACAATATCTCAAGATGATAAAACATCTCCGAATCTAAGAAGGAGTGAAAGGATTAAAAGCATACCTAAAGTGTGTTATGATGACAGTAAAGATGATCTATCGAATAATTATTTGCTGCATGCACAATCATTAGTATGTTCTATACCTAGATCTTTTGATGAAATCCAATCCAGGGATGATAGACATTTATGGGAAAGTGCTATAAAAGAGGAAATTAATTCACTCCTCAAAAATGAAACCTGGACCCTGATACAAAAAACCTATTGACAGAAATATCATTGATTGTAAATGGGTATTTTCTATTAAAAATGATGAATCTGGAAAACCATTAAAATATAAAGCGCGTTTAGTAGCTCGTGGTTTCAATCAAGAATATCTTATTGATTATAATGAGACGTTTGCACCTGTTGCAAGAATAGCAAGTTTCAGATTTATTTTAGCATTCGCGAATCAGTATAGATTGCTAGTGCATCATATGGATGTAAAAACGGCATTTTTAAATGGGAAACTTGAGGAAGAGATTTTTATGAAAGTACCACAAGGAATCCCATGTACAGATAACAACTTGGTCTGTAAATTAAATAAGTCGTTATATGGATTAAAGCAATCAGCACGTTGTTGGTTCGCAACGTTCGAACAAGTCTTGATTGAAAAAGGTTTTCGATATTCATCAGCTGACCGATGTCTATATATATTAGATGCAGGTGATATTTCTAAAAACATTTATGTGATTTTATATGTTGACGATCTTGTTATCGCAACGGCAGATATCAAAACCATGAACACCTTTAAACAATACTTAATGAAAAGGTTCAAAATGGTAGATTTGAAAGAAATAAAGTGTTTCTTGGGGATTAAAATTGAGAGAAGCAATAACAAAATAACTTTAGACCAAAAACTGTATATAGAAACAGTCCTTAATAAATTTAACATGAGTGACTGTAAACATGTCAGTACTCCACTTGAAACTAAAGTTGATTTCGAAGCTTTAAATTCGTGTGAAACAATGAATGCCCCTTGTAAAAACCTTATCGGATGTTTAATTTACATTATGGTTTGCACTCGACCCGATTTGAGTTATAGTCTAAACGTCTTGAGTAGATTTGCTAACAAAAACAACCATGCACTTTGGTCACACTTAAAAAGAGTGCTTCGTTATTTAAAAGGGACGCTTGATTTAAAATTGACTTATCGTCGGAGCAATTCAGATAAAATACCGTTAAGTGGTTATGTTGATTCTGATTGGGGTTCTGATGAAGTGGATAGAAAAAGTACTACGGGTTATTTGTTTAACTTATTTGAGCAATGCACTATAAGTTGGAAAACAAAAAGGCAAACAACAGTAGCAGTTTCTAGTACTGAAGCAGAGTACATGGCACTATTTGAGGCCGTAAAGGAAGCTCTATGGTTAAAGTCTTTAGTAACCAGTATAGACATTAAAATACTGGATCCGATTCCTATTTATGAGGACAATAGTGGTTGCATAAGCATTGCAAATAATCCGACATGTCATAAAAGGTCAAAACATATCGACATCAAATATCATTTCTCTAGAGAACAAATTGAGAAAAATGTTATTAAAATAATTTATGTGTCCACAGGTAACCAGTTGGCTGATGTGTTAACGAAACAGTTACCCACTGTTCGTTTCTCCCAGTTGAGAGAGAAATTGGGACTAGAATAGATTACAATATATTTTATATATGAATAAAATCTATAGTATTAAATACTTAACTAGGTTAAGATTTTGAATAAGTATAACATGGTCTGATTAGGTTTTTCTGGGTTTCCCTAATCCTATGCAACGAATGTTGGACCATTGAATGATTGTACCCCAGATAAAGGATGGTGTGTGATACTATGTTTGTAATTAATTTTATTTTAGATTAATTTTTGAGGGGGCGTGTTGGAATAACAAAAATCAATCTACTCATTATTCTCACGCCACTATTATAAGTGCCTTAAGTGGCCAGCTAACCCTCACTGAGATGTTTGCATCTCGCCCTCTTTCTGTTCTGCTAACGCCTTCAGGCAACACACACCTCCTAAAGTATAATAATAAATTCCACCTCTGCTATTTGATAAATAAACTTAGTTTTATTTCATCAACCCAAACCTAACATAGTTACATTCATTAAAACAACAAATATCGGTCGAAATACAGATACGAATGACAGATAAATAGTGTAGCGTGCTAAATATTAAAATAAACCTTGACTCACCATATGCATAGAAAGGACATTTAAAAAATTAAGATCAGTCAAGGCAAATGTTGCTGCCATATCTATTTACTTGACCAAGATGCACGTGAAGGTTATTCACTGAACAGATTAGTACTGATGAATTGGAAAAATAAAATACACGAGTGTTTTTTGCTACTTATGTATGTGTATAAATTTTTAGAACACCTGTGTTTTCGCGTGTGTAGTTCAAGGTTTGAGTTTCAGCGGTAGATATCAGAGTTGTGTATGGCTAGAGCCAAAAACCTTTGGACAAAAGCCAACTTTGAAATTTACTCTTCTTGTTAAATGTTATTTTTCAACTTTCCTAACTGAAAGTTCGGGAAAGCTCCAAAATTTCCAGTTTTGACATTTCTTTCTTGCACCAGTTTTCTTTTAATAGCTATTTTTCCAAAGTGTTAGTTACATATTGGAAAAGTATTCTTATTGCGATAGTTGTATTTATACCATAATTTTCAATACTTGTCTTTTCACATATACATATTTTATTTGTAGTGAACATTGATGGCCTTAAACATTATCTTTATCCCTTAATACAATTATATATTTTTATCTCTTTTTTATTCTTTTTCTGCGACCGAAGCAGAGTATCAAATTTTAAAACTTACTTAAATATCTCATTGTTACCAAGTACAAGTTGATGTTCAATATTTGCATGAAAAAATATTTTACTCATAAATGACCTTTTTGATTACAGAAAGACGAAGTGTACCTGAATTTGGTGCTGGAGTACATACCTGAGACTGTGTATAAAGTGGCACGTCACTACTCCAAAGATGAACAAACCATACCCATTAGTTTTATAAAGGTAAGTAAATTCATGCGGTTGACACACCATTTATTTTGTCTTTCTCAATATATGACTAATGTATCAATGTTTTCGGCAGCTATATATGTACCAGTTGTTCAGAAGCCTCGCGTACATACATTCGCTGGGCATCTGCCACCGAGACATCAAGCCACAGAACTTACTTCTTGATCCTAAGACCGGCGTACTCAAACTTTGCGATTTTGGCTCGGCGAAACATCTCGTTCGTGGCGAGCCTAACGTGTCCTACATTTGTTCCCGATACTACCGCGCTCCAGAACTCATTTTTGGCGCTATAGATTACACCACCAAAATCGGTAATTATTGCGTTTAGTATTATTTAATTCCTATATTTTTTTCTCTGTTTCATTTTGGTTGTATTTGCTAGTCTTCTAATTTATTTCAAATGAAAGACGGAGTTCTCGCAGCAGAATTGCGCAGTAACAAGTAAGCTGACTTACAAGCGTCAATGTCTGATATAGATCATCGCAACCACAATGTTGCGCATATAAATTGTTATCTGGCCCCAGATTTATTGTACCTATTGATGCTATCGACACAGGAATCCTTTGTACAATTGTCATTTCTCATCGATCAATGCTCTTTACCATCCTCTGCTACAACAAAGCAGCAACAATGAATGACATATGACTTTATGCTTCAGACAGATTTGACTCCAGATACATTACAATGAAATGAACTAAGCCTTCTTTTAATACTGTAACAATCATTATTTTTACAGTCTCTTCAAAAAGAGTAAAACATCTAGGTGATTCTATTAAAAGGCATCTTGCATAATTATGCTTTTGTAGGCTGGTTATATGAAAATAATACGATGTATTAAGAATGTCAGTTAATGTGCCACAACCTTGCCCTTGCCTTATCTTACTACTGTTTTGGTCACTTTTCATATTAGATTTCATATAAGACCACAGGTAGCAACAGCCCGTGATAAATGATTTTGTAGGATTATGCCATAATCACTATGTTTGGCAGTTCAGGTTTATCAGAGAGGTCTGCGGAAAATATCTGTGTCAAGTAAATAGTGGGATGGTATCAAAAATATTAACGAATTCAGTTCTAACTTGTATTGTATTAACGCATATTATACTAACAGGCAATAATTGTTAGCGTGTTTCTAATTTATTTGTCGTATCTTCCGCAGACGTTTGGAGCGCTGGTTGCGTAGTAGCGGAATTATTATTGGGTCAACCAATATTCCCAGGTGATTCTGGTGTTGATCAATTGGTTGAGATTATCAAGGTAAATATTTTATAAATATATAACCATTACACAATTTTAAATCACAGTAAATAATTGCCTGAAAAAATAAATACCACTATCTGATATAAAAGTATTTTTTTATAATACTACAATTTTTTGTTACAGGTACTAGGTACACCGACACGAGAACAAATTCGAGAGATGAATCCTAATTATACAGAATTCAAATTCCCACAAATCAAGAGCCACCCATGGGCTAAGGTAAAGCTTTGTGTATTACTATCAATACAAGTCTTGATACTTTCACCCAATATTTTTATAGGGTCTGTTGTAGCTATCTGTATCATATTAAGTATATTAAATAATATCGGAATATTATTAATTCGAAAGATTTTAAAGTTTACAAAATGTTCATCCATGGCAATGTGTTAAAGTTTAGTAAATTATTCTCGTAAGTTCATTAAAAATTTAACAACGATTGCCCAGAATTGCTTAGAATTATCGCAATTAAAGAACTTTAAATATTTTTATAAATTAATCAAATTTTATGTATCTGTTTAATTCTTTGTGATATCATACACTATGTGGATGTGGATATCCAGCTAACGCATGATCCTACGTGAGTAAGGGTTCCGTAGCCATTCGGAAGTCGGACGGAACCGGGCAAATAAGCAACGATTTAAGTCTGGCTGTATTTTCTAAATTATAGAAGGTTCTTATATTCTTTTGTGGTGTGTTATTTTATTATTTTCCAATGCAAGAACATTATAGTTGTTTCTTAGTTTCAGCAAAATTTACCTTCAGGTCGCGTGTCCGGGAATCTACTGCGAGAATACTACGGAACCCTAAATTGAGGATTTCCTTTATTTATATACTTGTTTCTTCTAAAATAAGACAAATTTATTTCTCATCGTTTTTCAGTTCTGGGACGCTAGTCAATTAAATAAGTTGTTAAAACCAAGTCCTTTCTTGAGATTTAACATTGTTGTTTGGCTGGTTAGAGTTCAAGATACGGAGTTAAAGCTCGTTTGTGCAAAATGGCTGAAAATATTCCTGATTTTTTTAAGATTTAAAAAAAATAAAGTTTCTACCAAACCTTGTACAAATGTGTTACCGACTATGTAGTTACCTTGTAGTTTGATAAATTTTGAAATCAATTTCTTTCCAACCCCTTTGATCCTACAATTTTCAACATGTTTGCCGAGTTCATATTGTGTGATGTTCATTATCGAGAAAGTGCACCATACAAGTTTTAGAAATCATTTCCGTGGCTATGACTGCTGGTTATTTACAGTTAAACATATTGTGTTTTACAAGCATGACATAGGAGACTAAAAAGCGCGCGTCATTGCAGTTCATGTTGGAGCGTATGTCCACGCCCAAGTCTGCCACTGACCACCAGCGCATCCGAGTAAGATATCGCTCTGCGGGCTATCTAGATGCCTTCATTATATTAATCGTACTACAACTATACTTATATCTTTACAGTCAAATGATATCTACAATCCTCCAAATCAGGTTACAAAATGAAGACATTTAGAGTAGATTTAGAACTTGAAAATAGCCGCGGCATGAGTTGAACAGAATGCCACATAAAACTAATCAGAAGCTGTCTCTTACTGCAATTTGTTTGTTGGTGTTCAGTGTGCATTCGTATTGTGCGACTCTGTGCCAGTTTGTTTCTCACATTCACGTTCTAAAACTATTTATTAGTTTATAAGCTTCTTTTTTCTTATTAAAACAAACATTTTCTTACAGGAACGAACTTGCAGCGTGGCACTTTTCATTTACTTCTGTTATTTAAAATTAGGGTCCCATGGATTCTTTTGAAAACTGTAACAGTATTAAATAAACACATCATTCTCAAAACAAAGTTCAGAATGTTTTTCGAGACGATGTCATTAAGTAAGCAAACAGTTAAAATTGGCATAATGCATAGGCTCATACTGCTTCAATTCTCAAGAGAATAACAACAATGAGTTTTGTTACAAAAATGTTACAAGTTTTCGGAAGGACACACTTCCACTAAATCACAATGATTGCCATGAAAGTCCAATCCTTGTTTCCTAACTATTAACATTGTAAATATTTAGCGTTATATTTTGCGTGTGTATACTGAAAAGACAAGAGTACTTCCAGTCGCTAACATGTGATTTGTTTGAGTGGGCGGAGTGCGGGCGGCGCGGTAGTACAGCGAGTGCGTGTGTGCAGGTGTTCCGCGCGTGCACGCCGCCGGACGCGATCTCGCTGGTGTCGCGGCTGCTGGAGTACACGCCCGGCGCGCGCCTGTCCCCGCTGCAGGCCTGCGCGCACAGCTTCTTCGACGAGCTGCGCGAGTCCACCGCGCGCCTGCCCAACGGCCGTCCGCTGCCGCCGCTCTTCAACTTCACGGAGTACGAGCTCAGCATCCAGCCGTCGCTCAACGACTTCCTGAAGCCGCGCACGAGCGCGGGCCCGGCGCCCGACGCGGCGGCGGGCGCTGCGCCGGCGGACGACGCGCCAGGTACTTGCTCGGCCGAGCCGCGCGCGTAGGCGGCGGCCGGCCTCTAACGTGTGTGTGTGCAGGCGAGGCGGGCGGGCCCAGCGGGCCGAGCGGCGCCGCGGCGGGCGCGACCTAGACGCCGCGCGCCACGTCGGGACCTCGCGCCGCACGACCAGCGCTCCAGCCCACACGCGACCTAGTGATAGTTACTTTCGTGTTGGCCATCGGGAAAATTACATGCATAATAATAGGTGTTTTCGGCGAGTAATCGTGTGATACTGTAGTGTAATTGTCGATAAAGCTTGAGCTGTCGTAGTCGGTAAGAAGGGTAAATCCGTTGTAGATTCTAAACCGTCGCGATGTGATTACTTTGTACTTTTGTAAGCTCAAATTGTCCCCTTATGTACATACCTTATATGCTGAGTTTGAATGTTTATTTAGTAAACGACAGATAATAACCGTCTGGATAAATTGTTTTGTTTTATTTTCATTTTAAAATCTCGTCAGATTCTGTCTCTTTTAAATGGTTTCGCTTATAAACTGTAGCCTTAATGTACTCGGTGTGAGACGTTTTTATCATAGAGAGAGGTTAGTCACCTGTTTGTTTCACTTGAATCACCTATATCGAGGGGTAGCCACATGATACTTACCTTGCTTGGGCCGTGTAATCAGTAGGGAAGACATATTCAGTAGTGTATTAGAGTATTTATTGTTGAAAAGTATCACTACTCAACAAACTTTTAAGAAGCGTATGCCTAGTGTTATTTCAACGATGAAACTTAGCAAACGGAATATTATGTTGCAACAATAGTACGCATTGTAAATTTTTATAACTAGCGTAAACTGATCTCTCAGATAATTTATAATAATGATATGATATCTCAGAATATTTGTATAAACAATTCAGAGAGTATAAATTTTAGATGTATTCACATATATATTTGTTTTTGGCAACTTCTATGTTAAACATTTTTTGCTGTGTATTTTGAATTATCCAATGCTGGATAAATGTAATGTACCTATTTAATAATAGCACTGTCGGTGTCCTAATTATAACGACATAGTTTTTGGATAATATTGTATTCTATATTCAATAAATGATATTTCTATTATATGAAATTTGTCATTGAGAACACTATGGTTATTAGTAGTCATTTATGAAACGATGTTTAAATAATGGTAAATTTCATTGTCATAGTTTTAAGTATTCGAGTAATTTCATTTTGCACTTCGATTTTGAATACAGTTACAAATTAGGAAAGGTTTAAAACTATAAGTATAGACTAACAAAATCTTTTCTTCATGGTGTAGAAGTAGCCTAAACGCAAAACTTATTGGTGTAATGTTGATTACCTCTTGCACCATTATATCGAAAAACCTGGTGTTTTAATATTCAGGCATTTGAATAGCACGATTTTATAAATACCTACCTATAATATAATATTTTAGTCTTATTTGGACCAACTCATGGTAACATGTCAACTGTGCATGAGAATATTGATTGAGCCAAAATCTAATGAAATAACAGTAATCAATAATACAGTTAATTGTTACATTCTCATCATATTAAGTAGGTACTTGAATAAGTTTTCACTGTATTTTTAAACACTCCCATGTTTATGCGAATGGTAAAGTTGGTATGTATGGTTGCCTTTGAATCTTTGAGCGACAGTTGGAAGTTTTTATCACAGAAATGATGTATCTATCTTTTAATGTTTCGATCAAGCTTTTCTTAATATCTTCTAATCGTGGTATGTAAGACTGTTTTTATATTTAGGATCATTATTTTTTGTTGCGAATCCAATCTTAACTCTGTGTCCGAAAATACTTAGGTTTGCGCAATGTATTCTTATTCCATTCTCCTATCTACCAACTTGTGCAAATACACAAATGATTGACAGGACTACCCTACCACCGTCAATCATTTGTTTTAATAAACAACAATCATTTTTATTATTACATAATTTCCTTTTATATGCATTATTACTATTCCATCTGCAATACATGAAATTGCAACTCCAATATTTGAAGAAAACAGAGAAAACTTATTCAGGACCTAATAAATAGTTTTAACTGCTTAGCTGATTCGATATAATGATAATTATCCATGTTTTTCTAGGCTTAAACCAGGGCCCCGACCATTAAAATAATTAACTATAACTTTGATTGTGTACCATGTTACAACAGGACAGTGTTGAACTCGGTCTTTCTACTAGATGGCATGGCGGTGTTTTTAGGTGGTCCTTTTCTTGTTACACCGTGTCTATGCCTTTGTGAAGAATCGAGTTCATTGTTAGGTACGCCTGTAATTACTTATAAATTATTGTATTTTAAAATAAGCGCGCTGAAGCCGCGTTTCGCTTTGAAATCACATGATAGTGGATCTTAGTTTTTGTCGTTAAGGCTATTAATTTGCTGGAACACCCATATAATTCGTGTAAATATATTATAATTATCTTTATGGTACGACTCTTGAGTGACGCGTGCGCGCGTGTCGGTGGCAGCGGAGGGAGCGTGACGAGTTTCGCCACCTTACCGCAGCGGACTCAGTAAGAGACAGTAGTTTAGATATTACATGTATTTTATTAAGTCTATCTATCTAATATGAATTTTGTAATCGACGTTGCTTCTTAAGACCTCTGTGTAAAAAAATTATAAGACATACTAGTGACCTGAATATTTGAAGCGATGTTATTAAAATCTTTATCCCACTGAATTCTCACTTTCACGATTTGCGTGCACATTTACAACATGAGAATTTTCCGTAAAATACATAGTTTGAAATGGAGTTATGACTTATTATATAAATTATTTAAAGTAAAATTTTCTTACTGTAATATTAAATTTAATAGTGAGTGAAATTTGTATTTGTTTTCATATTTGTTTTACTGAATTTAAATACTTCATAACCCTCATATCGTTGTTAGTTATGAATGAAAATAACATAATTATTAAAAGTAAATAATTAAATGAATAGTAAATATGGTTTTTTATTTTTATTGTACTAAAGTAAATCCTTAATATTTGTCAAGAATGACCACCACAGATGGGGCCCAATAGGGGACGCTGTGTAAGCCAACGCGGCCTCGAGGCATTGCGCTTACCACCCTACCCCGGCTGAACATCAGCCCCGTAGCCCGTAGGGCCTTCTATCTGTGGTGGTCTATTGACCCTGAGGCGCGCGTGGAACGCTACGCGCCGTACGCTCTGGTCTGGCAGTCCGCCGCAGGCTCGTGCGGTGGGTCATTAGGAGGAAGTTAGTCCCTCACACCCTCCGCCTCCTGTGCCAGCATAACTGTTTCGCAGAAAGCTTTCCATTTCCACTCGCTCAGTGCTGGATAGTGGGTTGTATTGGTGATCCAGCTACCTTTTACATTATTCCTCTTATTATACTCTGCTACCTAAATGCCTTCTACCTATCCCCATTTTAGAGCATTCTCTAAAACCTCCAGTTTTATTTTTTTTCGATGCCACCTGTATACTTATTCTCTTCAACCGACCTTCTGTTCAATCTGTTCTGCTGCGCTCTTCTATTTTATAGTTTTATTGTAATCTGTGGCTCTTCTCTGCCACTCTGCTATTGATCTGAAGAATGTCAAATTATCAAATTATATTGTCTATACCATTGACATAGGAAATATATGGACTTGAAATACCTACGAAAAGAAGGTGCCTACCTACAATCCACAATGTCGCATAAGATGGCTGCCGTTGCTAGGGTTGGACGACTAAGTATTTAACGAGTATCGATACAATTTGAGTAAAAGTTCTACGTAGGTATAGTTTTAGGGATTAGCCAGCTCATTAACGGTATTTTTTTATGGGAAATCATCTAATGTCATCTCCGGCCTATTTCGGGACAGACCGTTACTGACTAAAATCAACTCCTGTTCCTACTTTGCCTTCGGCCTAGCTAGAGCCCGGAACCCGGGGTTAACTTGGTCTCTTGATTGGCTAATGATTTTCTCAAGTCGAATTTGTATTCATATAATTCTACGTAAAGCGTCTTTTAAAAAAATAGGACTGTGTTTATGAACAGCGTTTAATGGAATGGTGAAATAGAAAAAGATAGTGTTTGTTAAATGTTTATCTTTATATATGTGGAAAACCTGTGGGTATTTGTGAAGTGCTCGCGCACAATTTCGGCGCGATGATATCTTCGAAACTACGTTAGCACAAAATAGATATGTAGTGAAGTCAATCTTATTGTATGTATCTCACTTTTTATTATTACGCTTGGTGGTCGCACTGGGATCGTCGCCAACGCCGCTCTGTCAATCGCGCCCGTATAATTATAAAACATGATAATTTGAACTTCTACTTATGTAACTAAAACCAATACCAAAATACTGACGTCTTACTTTAGCGTTACACAAAACTGCGGAAACATCCATTGTTAAAATAGATTATTTAGTATAATATATGTTGAATTTTAAATGGGAGATTATATCGATACTTTTGTGAAATGGTACGTAACTATGCCATATTGACATATTATTGTAAACAACAATTTTTTACTAAAACTGTCTCACAGACAGAAATAAAAGTAAATATATATACTTTGGCAATAGATTAAAGTATCCGTGACATTTTTTTTCTATCTATGTGGATTATTCTAAGTAATATTTGATGAAAACTGTTTACTAACCTATACAAAGACAATTGAGGTTGATTTTCGTTCTTTTTTGTACCACACTGCACAATACAACACACAGGCATATTGTTTTTTTGTTTCACTATATATATTTGAAGTTTAAAAAAATGGTTCTTTGTAATTTACTGAAAAACCGCAATAATTTAAAACATAAACAACCGTTTGACAGGCCAACTACCATGAAACTCAGGTACTCTGAGCGCTTAAGATGGCGGACATGGCACTTACCTACAACTTTGCTAATGTCAAAATGATTTGTTTCCATAATAAGCAACAACTTGTTGTTGTGTTGTCCCTTTTGTCTAATACAATTATTGCCTTGGAAAGAGTGAGAAAAAATTATATTTCATAGTTTGTTTCATATTTCCCTCATATTTGTATAAGCATGTATACTTCTATAGTAACACGGCGCCTCTATATATTTTCTATCTCAATGGTCTATACTTAATAAAAGATAGCTTGATCTCTGGGACAGCTGTCAGTAAAATCGCGCCTATGAAGTTCTGAATTTAACAGTACGGAGGAACCATTGAGATAGAAAATATATAGAGGCGCCGTGTTATTATAGAAGTATACATGCTTATACAAATATGAGTGAAATATGAAACAAACTATGAAATATAGCTTTTTCTCACTCTTTCTTAGGCAATAATTGTATTAGACAAAAGGGACAACAATATTTAAGTTGTTGCTTATTATGGCAACAAATCATTTTGACATTAGCAAAGTTGTAGGTAAGTGCCATGTCCGCCATCTTAAGCGCTCAGAGTACCTGAGTTTCATGGTAGTTGTGCTGTCAAACGGTTGTTTATGTTTTAAATTATTGCGGTTTTCCAGTAAATTACAAAGAACCATTTTTTAAACTTCTAATATATATAGTGAAACAAAAATACAATATGCCTGTGTATTGTATTGTGCAGTGTGGTGCAAAAAAGAACGAAAATCAACCTCAATTGTCTTTGTATAGGTTAGTAAACAGTTTTCATCAAATATTACTTAGAATAATCCACATAGATAGAAAAAAATGTTACGGATACTTGAATCTATTGCCAAAGTATATATATCTACTTCTATTTCTGTCTGTGAGACAGTTTTAGTAAAAAATTGTTGTTTACAATAATATGTCAAAATGGCATAGTTACGTACTTGGCATAGTAAGTACCATTCCACAAAAGTATCGATATAATCTCCCATTTAAAATTCATGATATATTATCCTAAATAATCTATTTTAGCAATGGATGTTTCCTCAGTTTTGTGTAAGGCTAAAGTAAGACGTCAATATTTTGGTATTGGTTTTAGTTACAAAATAGAAGTTCAAATTATCATGTTTTATAATTATCCGGGCGCGATTGACAGAGCGGCGTTGGCGGCGATCCCAGTGGGGCCACCAAGCTTAATAAGTGAGATACATACAGTAAGATTGACTTCACTACTTATCTTTTTTGTGCTAACGTAGTTACGAAGATATCATCGCTTAATCAGACGCACCGAAATTGTGCGCGAGCACTTCACAAATTCCCACAGGTTTTCCACATATATAAAGATAAACATTTATCAAACACTATCTTTTTCTATTTCACCATTCCATTAAACGCTGTTCATAAACACATTCCTATTTTTTTTAAAGACGCTTTACGTAGAATAATATGAATACAAATTTGACTTGAGAAAGTCATTAGCCAATCAAGAGACCAAGGTAACCCCGGGTTCCGGCTAGGCCGACGGTAAAGTAGGAACAGGAGTTGATTTTAGTCAGTAACGGTCTGTCACGAAAAGGGCCGGAGATGACATTAGATGATTTCCCATAAAAAAATACCGTTAATCAGCTGGCTAATCCCTAAAACTATACCTACGTAGAACTTATACTCAAATTGTATCGATACTCGTTAAATACTTAGTCGGCACAACCCTAGCAACGGCAGCCATCTTATGCGACATTTTGGATTGTAGGTATGCACCTTTTCTTCGTAGGTATTTCAAGTCCATATATTTCCTATGTCAATGGGAGGAACGTACCTGTCAATGTCATACTTTATGGGCATGCTGACCTAATTAGTGATGAGTGATGAATCATCGTGACCACAAACTATAAACTATCGATATTTTTTCTTAATTCAAAATTAATTTATCATTTCATTTTATTGTATATTTTAAAATAATATCATTATTTACAATAGTGAGTAAATCAAATTTAAATAGTAACCTACTCATGTAAAATTCTTTAGACAACTTTGGGTTTCGGGACATTCTGAAAGTGATTCGGATATAGATTTGGGGTGTTCTCCTTTGGAATAAATTTATCTTAGATTAAAATATTCGTTTCATTTCAGTACCCAAATTATATTCCAATTAAACATATAATTTTAGCATCGATAAGTAATAAATGTCGAAAACTACTATCGATATTTTTTTGTACCATGACAACCCTAGTAATGTCAGTTTGACGGATGTCGCAGAGATCAAGCTATCTTTTATATGGTATAATTTACTATTTGCTGTGCCCATCAGGGTCCATGATTGTTACTATTATATACATATTATTACCATCTTATCTTACATTGTGGATGCAATAAAGAAAAGATTATGATTATCTACCATAGACAATATGACAATTTCTGACTAGCCTAGGTAGGTTGTATAAAATGTTAATTTCCTTTAAATTTCAGTTATCAGACATAATGTACCTATTATATCACAAGTAATTAAAAATATTTTCTTTTAAATTGAAACTTGTCAAACGTTTTGATATTATGAATAAATATTTACTCGACTACGTATCATCACCCCAGTTACAAGTAGAGACCATCGGTGACATGACATTGACATAATAACAAATATCAAACGTCAATCAAAATCGAAACTTATTGTTGACTTGAGGGCATTGAGATAGAAAATATATAGAGGCGCCGTGTTACTATAGAAGTATACATGCTTATACAAATATGAGGGTAATATGAAACAAACTATGAAATATCATTTTTTCTCACTCTTTCTAAGGCAATAATTGTATTAGACAAAAGAGACAACAATATTTAAGTTGTTGCTTAATATGGAAACAAATCATTTTGACATTAGCAAAGTTGTAGGTAAGTGCCATGTCCGCCATCTTAAGCGCTCAGAGTACCTGAGTTTCATGGTAGTTGTCCTGTCAAACGGTTGTTTATGTTTTAAATTATTGCGGTTTTTCAGTAAATTACAAAGAACCATTTTTTTAAACTTCAAATATATATAGTGAAACAAAAAAACAATATGCCTGTGTGTTGTATTGTGCAGTGTGGTACAAAAAAGAACGAAAATCAACCTCAATTGTCTTTGTATTGGTTAGTAAACAGTTTTCATCAAATATTACTTAGAATAATCCACATAGATAGAAAAAAATGTCACGGATACTTTAATCTATTGCCAAAGTATATATATTTACTTTTATTTCTGTCTGTGAGACAGTTTTAGTAAAAAATTGTTTTTTACAATAATATGTCAATATGGCATAGTTACGTACCATTTCACAAAAGTATCGATATAATCTCCCATTTAAAATTCAACATAATTATACTAAATAATCTATTTTAACAATGGATGTTTCCGCAGTTTTGTGTAACGCTAAAGAAAGACGTCAGTATTTTGGTATTGGTTTTAGTTACATAAGTAGAAGTTCAAATTATCATGTTTTGATTGCGCGATTGACAGAGCGGCGTTGGCGACGATCCCAGTGCGACCACCAAGCGTAATATTAAAAAGTGAGATACATACAATAAGATTGACTTCACTACATATCTATTTTGTGCTAACGTAGTTTAGAAGATATCATCGCTTAATCAGACGCGCCGAAATTGTGCGCGAGCACTTCACAAATACCCACAGGTTTTCCACATATATAAAGATAAACATTTAACAAACACTATCTTTTTCTATTTCACCATTCCATTAAACGCTGTTCATAAACACAGTCCTATTTTTTTAAAAGACGCTTTACGTAGAATTATATGAATACAAATTCGACTTGAGAAAATCATTAGCCAATCAAGAGACCAAGTTAACCCCGGGTTCCGGGTTCTAGCTAGGCCGACGGCAAAGTAGGAACAGGAGTTGATTTTAGTCAGTAACGGTCTGTCCCGAAAAAGGCCGGAGATGACATTAGATGATTTCCCATAAAAAAATACAGCTGGCTAATCCCTAAAACTATACCTACGTAGAACTTTTACTCAAATTATATCGATACTCGTTAAATACTTAGTCGGCACAACCCTAGCAACGGCAGCCATCTTATGCGACATTTTGGATTGTAGGTAGGCACCTTCTTTTCGTAGGTATTTCAAGTCCATATATTTCCTATGTCAATGCTTGAGGGTATCAAATGCTCTAAAATAAATATAATTATAAAATAAAAAGATGAACAGTGCCCCGAGGATAATATTAATATAGTATTTGTGTTTATTGTGTAACAGTTTATCTAGAAACCCTTCGTGAACACAGTTACTCTGCGAATAATATTAATGTATTGGTTGAATAGTTCTAACTTGTAATCAGATTTAGGATTTAGGAGTGTATTAAATTATAGTTCATCAAAAATGCATGAAGCATACGAGATATCGCACTTGCTCAATGCGACAGTACAAATAGAAGCTATAGCAGCTTATGGTAAGTAAAACTACAGTTTTTATAAATGGGGTGATATTATATTTATACAAACAAAACAGATGAGTCACTTTCAAATAATCTGTTTGAATATAAATCATTATCATTTTGTGGACAATATTTCAATTAAGTATACTTGTTCCTTGGACTGTTAACTCTTAATATCACTGTCATGAATTCTAAAATAAAAAAAAACATCTGAAGAAACTCAAAATAATAATTGTTTGTAGATCACAGAAAATATTCCATTTCCTTTCCATTCAATTGAAAAATAACACACAATCCTACTTTTGGGTGAAGTAGATCTGTGTGTGTGTTTTTTTAAATAAAATTATACAAATCACACAAATGCTAACAGCACATTTAAATTTCAGATAACAACTTGTTATTAGGAACGAGACAAGGTCATCTGTTGATGTATTCACTATCTCAAACAAATGGGAACCAAAAATATGAGTTGCAGCTGCTAAGATACTGTAAGAATTTTAGTAAAAAGCCTATTCAACAAATAGAAGTTATTCCAGGTAGGAAATATTTGTGTTTAGATCATTTAATTTTCAATTAAGTATTTTTTTATAAATGTGTCCAACTTATGCATCACATTGTCATCCTATAAGTACCCATGGCTGTTTTATTACATGGAGAATGTTTGGGCATTCATAACCACACTTACTAAAAACTTTTTCATAAGATGTAGTATAAGATAGCAAGTTGTAATGTAAAATTTTTCATCATAAAATATAAATTTAATTTTTCCTTTATCTTGGCAGCCATTACATAAAGCTGAGCTTAAAATAAGGTAACCTGAATTGACTTAAAAAAAATGTTTTAAATTATTTTATATTGCTGACCGTGAGACATTGATATTGTGTAAATTATATTATTATATTAATGTACTATGATAAGAATTGAAAACCCTCTTTTGTAGAAGAACCATTGTCCAGACCTTGTTATAAATGGAAAATGGAAGAAACATTAAATACTTAATTTATTTATTTGTAATTTTAGAAGAAAACTTGTTGCTGTGTTTGACTGATAATGTCCTCTCTACATACAATATAAATGGTGTTAATTTTCCATTGGTTAAGACATTTGAACAAACCAAGGGTGCATCTCTATTTGCATTGGATAACACGGTAAGTGTTACATTATTAAACTGTATAATTCATATTTCAGTACCATACTTCTATTTATAACCATATCAACTTTTACCTGCAGATGTACCTACTGTAGGAAAGTATTATTCAGTGATATTTTAACAAATTTCTTGAAGAAGAAAATATTAAAATATTATTTATGCCATCTTGCTGAAATGAATTACTGTATCTCAGTAAGCTGATAGAAATATGTATTAAAATAATTACTCCCACACGGTTTCACCCGATATTCGTCGTAGTGTAATGTTTTATAGCCTTAAGACTTCCTCAACAAATGGACTATGGGCTATACAACAGGAAAATAATTGGCTGAATTCGAACCAGTAGTTCCGGTGATAAGAGCATTAAAACTAAATAGCTTCTCAACTTTATAATATTAACTAACTTCCGCGACTTCGCACGCGTATAAAAGTAACGTGTTCGGGGTTGCATTTAGCGCTCAGGAAGATATGTAGCTATCTATTAGTGAATAAAGTATATACCCTACATTTTTTTAGCAAACAATTTTACAGCCCTACAATTTTGTAAATATGATAAATAAATGAAAAAATAAAATACAAACTTATAAATTTAACTCTTTATAATATGATAAATATTAATATATCTATTATAAAGAATAAGGCAAACAATAGTGATTTTATCGCAATTGAGAAACTTTTGCCATCCCTATAAAGGTTGTTATTGCTTATTTTCTCCTTATCTGTTTCCAGCCTACAACATCAATGACTGGAGAATCAAATTCAGTTGTACGTCTCTGTGTTGCTGTGCGTAGAAAATTACAACTATACTACGGAAAGAATGGAGAATTCAAACAACATTTGTTCGACTTTACCATTCCTGATGTGCCCAAGGTCATGTCCTGGGGACAACAGTACGTGTGCGTGGGATTCAAAGCCGAATATGTGCTGTACGATGTAAGTAATAGAATTGAATATTGCTAAGCAAGGTAAACTTCAGTAATATTGAATTGGTCCCAGGATTCCCTGGATGATCAAACTTTGAGTTTAGGGTCGTAAATCGTCATATGACTTCTCCCGCCCAGGATGGGGCGGGAGGGCGTGTCAGACTCTTACCGACTAAACTTACTTCCTTCTCCTGCTCTGGGCAGAGGTCGCGATGCCTAATTGCGATTACTCCGTAACCCCGGCTGTTGCTACGTGGTTAACACAATCTGTTGTTTGCGTTTAAAACAAATGAATCCTAGAAAAAAGAATTTTTGTAGATAATTTTTATTGACACAACTGCATTAATAGTCTATTTCATTTTAGCTCGCATCAGGAAACCCTCAGGAACTATTCCCAACGAGTAGTTCTAAATCTCTGGAGCCAACTATAGCGAAATATTCTGAGACGTCATTTCTACTTGGTCGCGACCAAACGTCCGTTTTAGTGGAGGAAGCAAAAAATATAGATATAAAGAAAACTATTAAATGGTCTGAAGCTCCTATTGCTGTCGGTAAGATATTTCTTACAGCCACCATATCTTTAATAGAAGTAGCAAAAATGAAATGTAGCTTCACTGATAAACAGAATCACGGACTATTATTTTATTTTGACGCACCAAATACCTGTATATAGTTTAATTGGAATAAATGTTTTTTGGCTCTGACATTTTACTTTGAATGGAAGAGTAAAGATGTAATTGTACTGTGTAAAATAGTTGCTTTAAAAGAAAGAGACAAAAAAAATCTAGTATGATGTTTCAAAAATGCCTGTTTTTCCATGTGAACTACAGTGTAATGCATGTATATATTCGGAAATACACAGGTTCTATTATGGTGGTACAATATTACGTAGTTTTAGTCTAGTGTTTTCAGCCCAACCACAAAATATAATAATCATAACTAATTTTAATAATTATATTTTGTTTCCAGTTTGGGATGAGCCATATGTGTTAGGTTTGTTATCAGACCAAGTGATAGTACAAACAGTGGAGCCATCCCTGTTCATACAAACCCTACCTGAACTGAACAAAGCAAGACTGATGTATAGGTTAGTATGGATACACATTTTATTGGAAATAATTTAAAATGATCAACCAGTTACTGTGTACTTCTGGATTGTTATTATTTTTACTTGTTTAATATGCCTGTTCAATAGCTTCAGCATGACACTGAGATAGATTTTTCAGTACCAACCCTTTTCTTCCTGCTAAAGTCGTATAAGCCGACTAAGTGACTTCATATTATACGGGGATCCGGGCAGCTTTGCTTTAAAAAGCTACAGATCCTTTTTACTGCGGTCCGCCTGCCAAGACCACCCATGGAAAATCCCCTTATAATATGTAGTAGCCAATAGTGATTTGTCTGATACGATGTGAGCTATCAATTCAACAATAATGTAACAAAGAACTTGTTTCCAGATGTAAGCGAGGGTTGATATTCGTGTCCTCAGTAGGGCAGGTGTGGTGTCTCAGTTCTGTTGATATCACGAAACAAAGGCAGCAGCTACTCAAGGACAAACATTTTCAAATAGCTATAGAATTAACGGTAAGATTATCTTTTAAATATTTTGTTAAAATCGTGGCTCTACTACTAGGTTTTCTCCTGTGTTTACAAACAAAAATTTGTTCATTAATCTGAACCAAAAATTCATTGTTTCATTGTTTATTACACAAAAAGTCGCGACATGTTGCGTCGAGCAACCGGCTCCAATTGCACTGCCCAACAGTGCAGCCAGTATAAACAAAAATAATATTAAAAATAATCGCTAAATCTTTTATATAAAAATAAATTTCTGTTCGTTTGTCTATCAAACTCGAGAACGGCTCTCTAAAACTCGAAAACGGCCGGTCCGTTTTAATATAATTTTTTCTTACAATGTTCGTTGAAATTCATGATAGATTTGAAAGGATAGAATATTTGAGGCGGTAAATCTCGTAGATAGCTCCAACTGATTTCACTAAATAGTTTTTTTTATTTTATAATTATTTTTAAGTAGATACTTTTTATGACGAATAATCTAAATCTAAACTAGTTCAAGGCCCTAGAGCACCTCTTAGAGGATGTCCTGTTTCTGCCCACTGAGTTTAAAATAACCTTTTTTTGGTAAGGAAAATTATCAAATGACTTCTTTCAATCTGGGTGAGGTGTTAGGGAGTGTCAGGCTCTTACTGAAACCTATCCTGCGGCCGCGGTGCTTTATAGAGTTTGAAATAATGAATGGTATTACTGTAGCTATAGCTGCCTCAGTTCGCTAGCCTACTATAGCATTATGCCATTCTACCTATTCGTTTACCATGTAGGGTTGCCGTATTTTATGTGGAAATCGTATCACTGCACCGCCAACCGTGTACCGCTAAAATGTTCCGTGTAATATAGAAAAATGATACAAATGTTACAAAACATAACTTTAGTAAGCTGACGTAACTTTTTGGCGAGGAACTAGACTAGTTTCTATATAAAATGGCTAACAAAAGTTTAAAAACAATAATACTAAATTAATTGTAGGTACAAACAGAATTCATAGTAAAAGATGGTTTTTAATATTATCAGAAACTGCGATTGAAATGTTAATAGTAGAATCATATGTATGAGGAATAATCAGTTTCGGTCATACATTTATTTTATTTATATAATAAATGTTATTCATAATTTTCCTGTAACAGTTAACAAAGTTTAGTTCAAAATTATGATTTAGTGTGTGAGACTTCAATGTTTTGTTTTTGTGGAATTCGTTCCATGGTAATTAAATCTGTGTGTTTAAATAATTGGTATATTTTATAGATACTAATTGTGTGTGAAATTATAAACTTTATAGCATAATATTGTGTTGATGATTGTTATAAATAGAAATGCCTTTTACGGTAAAAGATCGGTTGCAAACAATAGGACTCTTGATTGGAGTAAGTTATATTTCATTCCTGTGATTTGAAAGGAATTCACATTGATACCAAGAAGTTACTTTGTCAAATTATAGTAAATAAAAATTAAATGTGCATAGTAAAAATTATTACTTACAGTAAACATATTTTCTATTTGAACGACATCCAAAAAAGGAGGAGGTTTCTCATTAGACATACTGATAACCTGATGGTAAGCCATCATGGCCACCCATGGATACAATTAGTACCACCACTACCAATGTAATGCACCACAACTGTATCACAGCCCTTTCACTGTTGCAAGTGGAACCACTGGTTATCTCGCATGCCTGAGTAAAGTTTAGTTGTTCATTTTCCCTTTTGGAATATTCAGGACTAATATTATGCCTGGTGATTACTAAAATATTAACATTGATTTAATTAATCTGTTTGAAGGGACAATAAATAGTCCTCATTGTTTATCGATTCAAAAACTATCAGAAAAGTTAGTGAAGCACATACCTCTATTTTACAGAGCCTGTCAGACTGCACGCCCGAAGAAAAAGAACAAAAAATACATTCCATACAGGTTCTATACGCGTTAGAACTATTCGACAACAAACAATATTCGCAGTCCATGAAGGAGTTCATTAAACTAAAGACGGACCCAGTTGACGTCATCAAATTGTTCCCTGAATTAGATGGTAAAACAAATGACGATAATCCAAAGAAATTGGTTGGGAAGGATTTAGAGAATGCTTTGAATGCGCTGGTGATGTATTTGAAGGAGTTGAGAGCGAATATAGGGAATAGCACTGGTCAGGATGAGGCGACTAAGCAAAGAAATGTGACGCAGCAACTAGAACTGATTGATACTACATTGCTGAAGTGTTATTTACAGGTACGTGTTGCTTAAGGAAAATTAATGCTAATAAGCTTAAATAAAAACATGTTTACGCCGTTTTCGGAATACCTCGACGGAGCATTATAAAATTGACATAAAGTTCATATATTCATAAGTAATTTGTTTTCAAATTCTGCTTCCAGAACCTCTAGTCATTAAAACTTCATTTTTCAGATAAACGATGCTTTAGTTGCACCTTTACTTCGAATCAACAATTGTCGCTTAGAAGAAGCGGAGAGGATGTTACTGCAGCATGGAAAATATAGTGAATTAATAATATTGTACCAAACCAAAGGGCAGCATATGAAAGCGCTGCAGCTGCTAAGAGATCAGGCCAAAGAACCAGACTCTAGCTTAGGTTACCAAGAAACCAAGAATTATTTGCAACAACTTGGTATGTACTTTGGTCTACGTTATATGCGTATGTTGTTCTCTATTAAACTAACGAAATATCTCGTATTACAGGTGCTGAACACATAAATTTAATATTTAAATTCTCTGACTGGATATTGAAGGAACACCCCGAGAAAGGTTTGAAGATATTTACTGAAGATAAAGTAGAAGTAGAGAACTTGCCTCGTCCGAAGATATTAGACTTTCTGCTGAGAGAGCACGAGTCCCTCGTGATCCCGTACCTGGAGCACGTGATTCACACGTGGAACGATACGAACTCGTTGTTCCACGACGCGCTCATCAACATGTACCGAGACAAGATCACGGACAAGAAGGCGAACCTGACGGACGCAGAGGTGCAGCACATTAAGGCCAAACTTGTCGCGTTTCTAGAAAAATCCGCGCATTATACACCTGAGAGAGTGTTGGTACACTTCCCCGTTGATAGCCTATTTGAGGAAAGAGCCATCATTTACGGGAAATTAGGACGCCATGAGCAGGCACTCGCTATTTACGTACTTATATTAGGTAAGCATCGACCTTGAAAATTTTCCTCATGAATGGACATAGTAACTTAATAATAATACTGACCATTTTGCTTACAGGAGATGTAGATAGAGCAATAAGATACTGTGAAAATGTTAGCGCTACTCCAAACGATAAGAATCAAGATGTTTACGTCATTCTAATGCGTATACTTATGAACCCTCAACAAGACAGCGCACTCAAAGAGAATCCTTTGGCCAAAGTGCCTAGACACCCGAAGACGTCCGTCCCTGATTTGGAGACAGCCCTCGATATACTGGAGAAGCATGCTGATAAAATCTCGCCCCTAAAAGTAAGTACTGTAGAATATACTATTGAGATTGTTGGATGAAAATTTTGCGTTTGATGGAGTTGGAGGTGATGTATTACTGTGGACTGGTAATAAACACGAAATAGCAAATCGGCAAAACGATAGAAGTGGTCCTAAGCGTAACTGCATGTAAAGAGTTAATAAAAATAATTAAAAGAAACCTTTTGCTCGATACCGCTAGAACCAACTAAGGCATTATACATTTACCAGAAATTGTGGTCAGCAACGTTCTTTGATAAAACTGAAGGACTGTTAGGAAGGAGTCGCCTGGCAAGTGAGGGTGAAAAACCAGATTCATCTTATGGAATAGAAGCCTTATTGTTTAACAGTGAACTGCAGGCTGTTGATGCTCAAGCTACTAAATAATTTATCCGATTATACAGCCAACATTTAACAATAAATAAATGTATGACTTACAGGCTCTCTCAGTGTTGCCAGACTCGGTGCCACTAAGTCGTTTGAAACACTTTCTGGAAAGCGCTCTCGATGGACAGCTTACGTTGAAACGACGCATGCAAGTTCTCAAAGGTTTGCTGTATGCAGAACATATGCAGGTAAGTTCAACAGCAACGATTACTTGGCATTATTTATTGTATTTAGGAAATTTCTGTATATTTGAGTTTTAATAAGTGAACCTTACTGTTCCTTCAGTTCTAAGATGCATGAGCAAGTCACAATGTAGCTTTTATTTAGTAAAAATCGAATCATTGTCATGTGCTGAAAGTCCAGCTCAGTCAAAGTATTTTCATTTTCTATCATATTAGGCCGTCTACGCACTACGCTGACTGTCAAACCGCCTTTCCAATCGAAGTTTATAACACGACCTCATATCAAATGAGTGTGAAATAAGGTTTGCGTTGTGTTCCGCTGTGAGAGTGTTGTTACTAGAGGCCTAATCCCCCAAAGGCCGGAAACGTACTTAAACGTTCTTTTTGTAACTGTTGGTTTGACTTTTAAGTTTATAGTATAAAACAAAGTACCTATGACAGAGAAAGCGAATTTGTTCCCTATGTCAGCTTAAATCTTTAAAACTTCGCAACGGATACTGATGCGGTTTTTATTTTTGAGGATTGATGATGAAGGTTTATATGTACAGTCAGCTCCAAAAGTCGATGAACAGAATCAACTTTCCAAAACACCTGTTCACAATAAAATGCCATAAGTTATAGTCACAACAAGGAAACAAAATAGCCTGTACATCAGAAATTTACAAAAGTCGTTAAACACGACTAATTCAAAAGTATCTGTGCACTATAGTATTCCTAAAGTCGCTGTACACCATCAATCCAAATGTCGCTGAACATCATTGTATCAAAAGTCAGTAAACAGCAGAAAAGTCAAAATTAGGTTAACAAAGTATATTTTTAATGTTGCACTGTGTTAATATAATTTTGACGCTTATGTTGTTCAGCTACTTTTGGGACAGTGTAACTTAATAATGTATATTAACACGTTAGTATCTTTTTCAATACTTAATTAACTAACGAGCTAACTCGATGTCTCACGATAGTTATTATAAAAACATTTTTTAATACTTATTTAAAAAAGGTGGAGGTTCTCAATTCTTCGGGATTTTTTTTTTTTGATGTTAACCGATTACTTAAGGCTCCTGGACCGATTTGGATTTTTTTTTGTTCAGTAGGGTATGATTTCCAGGTTGTCCCATGTTCACCAGGTCAAGATCTGACGATGGAAACCCAGAAAAATCCCTCACAGAAAACCGGCGTGAAATAACCACTGCGTTGTGTTTCGCCGTGTGAGTGAGGTTACCGGAGGCCCAATCCTTCCCCTTCCCCAATCCCTCCTTAATCCCTAAATCTCCAAATCCCTAATCTCTTAAAGGTTGGGCGGCGCTGATTGCTTACCATCAGGTAATCCGTCTGCTCGTTTGCCGAACTATTACATATAAAAAAAAATCGAGTGGAAATTTAAAATTTTATAGGGTTATTCAGGTATTTACGTCAACTTGTCGATGGTTGAACTCGACCTGATGATGATGAAACCGAAAGACAGTCGAGGGATGTCCTTGACTATTTGGAGTAATTGCCTTGTGTTTGGGCTTGAATAATTTTTCTTGGTGAGCACTTTGCACCAAGACTGGTAGTGACTGTCACTAGGGGTCTGATGATGACAACGAAGGACAGCTCAGGGAACGCCTGAACGGTTTCCAGTAACTACCTCGTGTTTGGAATTAATTCATTTATATCAATAAAAACTTCGCACCTACATGAGTTACAATGAAGTTATGCAGTAAATCTGATGATGGAGCCGGAAGACCGTAGAGGGATCTCTTTGACTATTTGGAGTAATTATTTTGTGTTTGCGCTGGAATGATTCTATATTGGTATTGGTGAGCACTTTGCACCTATATAGATTATGTAACTATGTTGAAGGTCTACAGTATACATAGTGATGGAGACCATTGACAGTCGAGGGATCTCCTTGACTATTTGGAGTAGTTGCCTTGTGTTTGAGCTTGAATGATTCGTATTGGCACTTTGCACCAGGCTTGGTCGTAACTGTCATTAAGGGTCTGATGATGAGAACGAAGGACAGGGAACTCCTGAACGGATTATAGTAACTACTTCGTGTTTGAACTTAATTCATATTGTCAGTAATCATACTTATATATAATATGAAATAACATAAACATCACTCTAACAATCTACGAAGTAGACAACTTTGTACACAGAAAATTTATTTTTTATGTTTGTGTTTACTTATTGAAGTCGTTTGTTTTTTTTTCATTTAGGTAAATAGAAAATAATAATAATAACTATTTTTATAATCTCGCAGTAGGTGCCAAGTAAATGCTACATACCAAACAACAACAGTTTTAGAAACGTGTATTGATCGGTACCAAGCAATCATCATTGTTTTACTTGGTACCTGGCACTTAATTGGCACCGACTTCGAGATTATAAAAATAGTTATTAATATTATTTTCTATTTACCTAAATGAAAACATGTATTACTTTGTACACAGAAAATTAATTTTTTTGTTAAAAATTATTTTATTTCACCATTTTAAGTGATATGCAGAGCAAGCAAGGATAATGCGTTTCGAATGAGAAGACGACGGCTACTTGAGACCGAAAATCACGGTAATAGTAGTAGTCCTTAGTGTTCAGTTCTGTAAATTGTTGAGGAATGCCCTCGACTGTCAATGGTCTCCATCACTATGTATACTGTAGACCTTCAACATAGTTACATAATCTATATAGGTGCAAAGTGCTCACCAATACCAATATAGAATCATTCCAGCGCAAACACAAAATAATTACTCCAAATAGTCAAAGAGATCCCTCTACGGTCTTCCGGCTCCATCATCAGATTTACTGCATAACTTCATTGTAACTCATGTAGGTGCGAAGTTTTTATTGATATAAATGAATTAATTCCAAACACGAGGTAGTTACTGGAAACCGTTCAGGCGTTCCCTGAGCTGTCCTTCGTTGTCATCATCAGACCCCTAGTGACAGTCACTACCAGTCTTGGTGCAAAGTGCTCACCAAGAAAAATTATTCAAGCCCAAACACAAGGCAATTACTCCAAATAGTCAAGGACATCCCTCGACTGTCTTTCGGTTTCATCATCATCAGGTCGAGTTCAACCATCGACAAGTTGACGTAAATACCTGAATAACCCTATAAAATTTTAAATTTCCACTCGATTTTTTTTTATATGTAATAGTTCGGCAAACGAGCAGACGGATTACCTGATGGTAAGCAATCAGCGCCGCCCAACCTTTAAGAGATTAGGGATTTGGAGATTTAGGGATTAAGGAGGGATTGGGGAAGGGGAAGGATTGGGCCTCCGGTAACCTCACTCACACGGCGAAACACAACGCAGTGGTTATTTCACGCCGGTTTTCTGTGAGGGATTTTTCTGGGTTTCCATCGTCAGATCTTGACCTGGTGAACATGGGACAACCTGGAAATCATACCCTACTGAACAAAAAAAAAATCCAAATCGGTCCAGGAGCCTTAAGTAATCGGTTAACATCAAAAAAAAAATCCCGAAGAATTGAGAACCTCCACCTTTTTTAAATAAGTATTAAAAAATGTTTTTATAATAACTATCGTGAGACATCGAGTTAGCTCGTTAGTTAATTAAGTATTGAAAAAGATACTAACGTGTTAATATACATTATTAAGTTACACTGTCCCAAAAGTAGCTGAACAACATAAGCGTCAAAATTATATTAACACAGTGCAACATTAAAAATATACTTTGTTAACCTAATTTTGACTTTTCTGCTGTTTACTGACTTTTGATACAATGATGTTCAGCGACATTTGGATTGAAGGTGTACAGCGACTTTAGGAATACTATAGTGCACAGATACTTTTGAATTAGTCGTGTTTAACGACACTTGTAAATTTCTGATGTACAGGCTATTTTGTTTCCTAGTTGTGACTATAACTTATGGCATTTTATTGTGAACAGGTGTTTTGGAAAGTTGATTCTGTTCATCGACTTTTGGAGCTGACTGTACATTGATTAAATAGTGGAGAAATTTAGCATCGGCATTGCACACGTGCTGAGCAAGGACGGTTCGATAGTGTCAAATAAATAAAAAAACACATTTTTTCTATTCTTTGATTATTTTGACACCACTGACATACGGCGGAGGTAAACATCGTGAGGAAACCTGGACTTATAATTTCTAATTATAAGTTTGAAATCGCCAACCCGCATTGAGCAAGCGTGGTGATTAATGCTCTAACCTTCTCCGTATGAGAAGAGGCCTTTGCTCAGCAGTGGACACTTATAGGCTGATGATGATGATGATGATTTTTTCTATTATCTGTTCCAGGTACAAGAAGTGAAACAGTTCCACGAATCGAAGAGTGTTGTCATAAATGACTACAACGTATGTCCGGTTTGTAAGAAACGCTTCGGTAACCAGAGCGCCTTCGTCAGATACCCTAACGGTGACATAGTCCATTTTAATTGTAGACTTGACAAGTAGTACTAGTTCTGTATTGTGTATAGAAAATATTCTAGCATCTCACATTAGCGTATTTGTCAAATGAAGCTCTTGAACTTCATCAATTTGGTGCACTTGGTACTCTTTTTATTATCAGGTGTCATTTTTGCGGTTTGTCATGTTTGTCACACATTGTGGGTGTAAAACGCGGCCCCAGAGTGCCTACTGTGAGTTAGCTTTACGATTAACACGTTTATGACGTTCGGTGCTCTGATTGGCTTACTCCAATTTCACCAACCAATCAGAGCCGGCTTACTTGTCTGCCTCAAGTTGACGAACAACAACTGCCAACTCAGATACATGAATGTAGGTAATGTACGCATAAGAAAATATGAATGATTGTAGTATTTGATACTGTGTACATGTGTTTTTATGTAAAGCTATAGTCAAACAAATGAGGGGTAGGTGATTTGGGCTCTAAATACGAAGTAGTGTGTGTTTCTTTTTCAGTTTCTTGCAACTACTTTCATATTTAATAAAAGTCGTTGTTAATGATGGATATTATTGTTAATCTACTACGATTACCGAAAAATTGTTTACTTACCACCCATGTAACTAAACAATTTGGGAGGGAAAATATTTCTCTCTCGGAAATGAATATAGTTAAGCTATCAACAGCTAAAATATTTAATCATGATGTGATAGATAGATATAATAAAATCCCAAGATACAATACATCCGTAAAAATACAATGTCTTGATTCGGACTTGAAAAAGCAACTTTATGTAGTTGTTATAGTTCTGATTTTTAAATGCCCATCCTGTCTTTGGTTTCATTTTGAAATACCCAATGATGCACGAAAACCTCATTTTATTTAATGAATTTTAGTATATTTGTGCGCCTTAAATGAAATGTTTAGCTATATGTGTATGTATGTATGTGTATACAGCTATTTCGAAAGTAAGCTTAAGAATCAATGTACAGAGTTTAATATAAATGTAACCAATATAGTATGTATGTATATTTTATCATTGTATTAAATAGTATATACGTGAAAATATTGGAATTATAATGTAAATTATTTAAATAAAAAATATGTAGAGCATTCATTGTCTTATTTATAAGTATTAACAACTAGCTGTGACCCGCGGTTTTATTCGCTTAGTGTATAGCCTTTGTTTACCGTGTATGGTTTAGCTTCCTAACACTGAAATAAATTTTCCAATCGGTCAAGTAGTTTCCGAGCCTGTTCCAACCGAACAAACAAACATTATTTCCTCTTTGTAATATTAGGTAAGATATCGACTTTAAGCCAAAATAATACCTAATAGACATTCAAAACTATTTGTGAAAAGATCTATTGTAATTTAATTAATTATTATTTGTAATCTTAAATGAGACTAGCTTCCGCCCGCGTCTTTACCCGCGTGGTATATTGATAAAAAGTAGCCTATGTCCTATCCACTTTCGCATTTATAATATTAGTAAGACTACTAAATTATGTTGTGATAATTTAGAATTATTATTTAAATTCGTTTCTTGCTGAGTCGATATCCATTTGATATATATCTCACAATAAGACCTAAGGGGCTTCTTTGTATAGTTAACTATCGTGAGACATGGCAAATGTATCCAAAATAATGACTTACTCACGTTAATGAACTGAGAAAAGCTCTACTAATGTCAAGGTATGACTAAAAGTCCCGATTGAAATTATTGGAGACTTTCTCAATTTATTCACGAGAAGCAGTCATGATTTTTATTTGATTTTCCTTTTTTATGTTCGGCTAACGAGCAGACGGATTACCTGATGGTAAGCAATCAGCGCCGCTCATTGACACCCGCAACAACAGAGCAGTTACGAGTGCGTTGCCGATCTTTTGGGATTCGGGATTTGGAAATTAAGGGATTGAGGGACGGGAAGAATTGGGCCTACGGTAACCTCACTCACACGGCGAAACACAACGCTGTGGTTGTTTCACGCCGGTTTTCTGTGAGGCCGTGGTATCACTCCGGGTCCGGGTAGGGTGTTAAAAAAATTGATACCAATCTGTATAAAATCGAATATTTGAAACTGTTATATAACACAATAATAACCACTTAGATGAGTCACCTACTTCTGAATAGGTACTGGTTGATATATGTTTACGTGTGCATGTGGTAATTTACGCTGTTAATCATAACATTAATTACAAATAAAACATATTAATTAAACGGGGAAAGAGGAAAATCTGTATTGAAACAAGCGTTAGTCAGTTTTACTGCAAGCCAATAGTGAAGTGATGTGGAAAGCGTGATTTTTGTTGAAAATAAAATAATAAATATTATAAAATGTTTCGCACTGCAATCAAAAAAAGGGAGGCTGAGATGATAAAATTGCTCAATGTAAGTACATTTTGTATATTTTTGTGTATGTAAAAGAGCCTCACCTAGTTTAGTGTCTTGTAAGCCAGGGTATTTTTTTTTTATTTACTTATTAGTTTGGAATCAGTGTTAGCATATAATGTCCTAGTTATAGTGTATTGAACTAAACTAAATATTTTGACTAAAGACTTCAACATTGTACTATTAGATTGTGCAATAAGTCTTGCAGTCGTATGCTTAGTTGATATGTAGATATCTTTCTACTTACATTGAATTCTTTTTTCAAACTTTGATTAATAGAGCAAAATTTTTCTATAATATTGATAATTGAAGTTAATAATAGCAGGCAAAAAATAGAAGTTATATATACGCATTCACGAAATTCCTAGCATTGGTATTTTTGTTTCAACAGAGTCTCCCAACATGCCCGCGCGAAGAGAAAGAGCAAAGGCTTCTTTCTATTAGACGCCTGTATGCATTAGAACTATTCGACAACAAACAATATTCCCAAGCTATGAAAGAGTTCATTAAACTCAAAACTGACTTAGCAGACGTAATCAAACTAATTCCTGATTTAGAATATAAATCAAGTGATGATAAAGAGAAAGTAAAGAAATTGTCTGGTAAGGACTTAGATAGCGCTTTGAAGGCCATGATAGTATACCTGAAAGCGGTTCAAAGTAATTTAGGAAAAGACACGGGTCAAGGTGAAGCGGCCAACGAAAGTCGGCACCGAGAGCTAATTGAAACTACATTGTTGAAGTGCTACTTACAGGTAATAAATACTAAGTACTTGGTTTATAGCCATTTTTAATTAACGTATTATTTTTAATTTTACACATCATCTGCTTTACGTATGGGTAGTGGTCAAACGCAACTATCATAAAAAACGTCATATAAATATCGTTCTTACAGTATCGAATAACAAAATGAAAGAAACCACTTTCCTTTTGCAGGTGAATTTTGATGTAACAAATCTTATACAAATTAGTAACAATATTTGTCTGGAACAAGCAGAGAAGAAATTGTTACACTATAAGAAATACAGCGAATTAATTTTGCTGTATCAAAAATGCGGACAGCACATGAAAGCGCTTAAGCTGCTTAAAGATTATGCGAAACAATCAGATTCCAGCTTATTTGGCTATCAGAGAACGGTGAATTATTTGCAGCAACTTGGTTAGTGTGGTAATGGGGGCTTTGATAGGGTAAGGTCTCGCGGATTCCCCCAAAAGATCTTATTCCATTCGATTAAACTTGCCAGTGGTCAGCGTAAAGACGGAAATATGAACACGGTCATTCTTTCCTTTGGGCCGTTCGCATCTCCTAAACATCCAGATCGAGACTTGACTTACTTCTTTGATGACTCAAAATGTCAGTTATTTTTATCCGAAAATATTCTGATCTAAAAACATGTGTTTCAGGTGTTGAACACATAAACTTAATTTTTGAGTTCTCAGACTGGATATTGAGAGAATATCCAGAGGAAGGCTTAAGGATATTTACTGAAGATAAAGTAGAAGTAGAGAACTTGCCTCGTCCGAAGATATTGGACTTTCTGCTGAGAGAGCACGAGTCCCTCGTGATCCCGTACCTGGAGCACGTGATCCACACGTGGAACGATACGAACTCGTTGTTCCACGACGCGCTCATCAACATGTACCGAGACAAGATCACGGACAAGAAGGCGAACCTGACGGACGCAGAGGTGCAGCACATTAAGGCCAAACTTGTCACGTTTCTAGAAAAATCCGCGCATTACACACCGGAGAAAGTGTTGGTACACTTCCCCGTTGATAGTCTGTTCGAGGAAAGAGCCATCATTTATGGAAAATTAGGGCGCCATGAGCAGGCACTCGCTATTTACGTTCTAATATTAGGTAAGTTTCCAAGGTAAGCTCATTGAATTTATATATTACTCAATAAAACTTAAAAAGAATTGCATGTTTGTCTTCAGGAGATGTTGATCAAGCAGTGCGGTACTGCGAAAATTCCAGTACAAATCTAAACAATCATGGTCAAGACGTTTATGTCATACTGCTGCGCATCCTCATTAATCCTGAAAAAGAAAGTGCACGCGACACGATCAGTAAGCTTCTGGCTAATGCGACAATACACCCGAAGACCGCTGTTCCCAATTTAGAGAGGGCGCTTAATATATTGGAGGATCATGTCGATGAAGTATCGTCACCTTTGGGAGTAAGTTTAATTTGGTAAATTATAAGTATGTAGTTACATTAAAAGATTGTATCCAAGATATTTAGAAAAAAAAATGACTTGACTATAAATTAAAAGTTATGGTTTATTAAAGAAGTTATGGTTATAGACAACAGTGAAGAGGTAACAGAATGTAAATAAGATGATGATATGGCGATGGTGCTCGTTTGTCACCTTACACCATAAATACCAAGCGACTAAACGAAGGAGAAAATTTCTCTCCACTAGAAACCGTAGGTAAATGAAAGGTAGTGCAAAAGTACAATATATTTTAGGCTTTTGTGGCAGCAAAAATATTTAAAAATATCTCATCGACTGATCGTCAAAAGTCCCAGTAAGTATCTCATTAATTAAGTAAATCTAGAGTTACTTATAGTAGACTAGACATAACTGGAAGCGACGAATGCTTCGGCGATACCTGCTTGTCCGACACATGGGTAAGTGGAAGAACACCGAATTGGTTTTTAGTCAGTAATAGTCTGACAGTACCCTTCGCCCTTCCCCGAGAGTGGTGGGTCTCCATGAAGATTTTCCTACCCGATACCAAATAAGAACTACACATGGTTTCCGATAAGTCCGTTTAGTTACGATATACAATAAAAAAATATTTGACAGAACCGTCCAAAAAATAATTTGTAATTTATCATACTAAAGAGATCCATTGTTGATTTGCAGGTCCTATCGGTGTTACCAGACTCGGTGCCTCTGTGTCGTTTGAAGAAAATATTAGAGAATGTTCTGGAGAGTCAGTTCGCTTTGGCCCGTCGTTTGCAAATTGTCAAAGGATTGTCACAGGCTGAAAATGAACAGGTGACCATATCATACATCTTTCGACGGCCTCTTGCGTTTGACGCCGTTAATTTATATGCCTTAACAACAAATTTTGCACGAAACAACGAGTTTTTTGTTCAAGTTATTTTAAACTAGCTTCCGCCCGCGGCTTCGCCCGCGTTGTATGTTAATAATAAGTAGCTTTTGTCCTATTCCGGAGTGTAGCCTATGCCTATGCCAACCATTTCACCCAGATTCGTTCTGCCTTTTTGGCGTGATTGAGTAACAAACATTCAAACATCGTAACTTTCGCATTTATAATATTAAGTAGGTAGGATAAGATTTGTTGAAGTCATCGAACATATTACCTAGGTATACGATAAAATAGAAATAAAGTAATTCACATAGTAAACTTAAACAAGCTGGTGATAAAGTTGTTTGAGACCTTTTAAGTGAACGTAGGATGTCTCGGCAGAAATCTTGGTTTAGATTTGAACACTCTAAATGTTCCTCCTTTGTTCTCTCAATTCACAAGGGCTCTGTCATTTAGTAAAATGTTATGTCGTACTCTATTTTTCCTTCTTTATTCTCTCTACCTGTAATTTATTAAAACTTTGTGTTTTATTTGTCTCTGTTACAGATAGAAGATATGAACCAGTACTACGAGTCCCAGGCGTCGCTAATCACAGACGGTGACGCGTGTCCCGTATGTAAGAAACACTTCGGTAACCAAACCGCGTTAGTTAGATACCCTAATGGTGTTATAGTTCATTTTCATTGTAAACTTAGATAAATTATCTAGTACTACCTAACGCATATGAATATATGTTTGAAGGAAGAAATTCCAATTAGAATATGTTGCGTCTAAGTACTTAAATTGTATAGATATGTTGTCTCTTCTGCTGTAAGTATGTGTGTATATAAATCAATAAATAAATTTGAGAGCTAATGGGATTTTGATAGTTACCAGTGTTCTATAATAGAGAAGTTATGAAACCTTGTGTTGAATTTTCTCGTTCGATCTGAATTTATAAGTGTCATAGTATATTGTATTGTAATCACAACATTCGGTCATAGTATCCAATGTATTGCTACTTGGTGTATGTGTGCAATAAAGTATATAAATATAAATATATAAATATATTCCCACAAAAAGAACTCAAAACACAATTCCTCTGTAAATATACAACTCATTTGGTGCCATTTAAAATAAGTTTATGTTATGAAACACGTCAAGTTGCGAGATAAAAAACATACGATAACAGCCTAATTAAAATAAATACATAAAACGTAATATGTGTATGAGTTATGCGTGTTAGAATATTATATGAACAAATAATACCAAAACACCAATTGATATTGTGGGATGACAAAAATTAATTCGGGATTTAACATTCACCGGGGCCTAATTACCGCAAATTCTGCATGTCTGTAAATCCCTTTAGCGGATAAACGTGTGATGTCATATTACTCGAATATGTAGGTCATGCACAATATATAAAATACTTGTTATTCCCAGAAGGTGTCAGTAGAATTGTGCAAGTACGTTTCATCACTTATTTATGTCTCAGGAGAAGGACAGGATCGGGTTCTTAGTCACTAAGAGTCTGAAACTCCCTCTCAAACTTCAATGAGAATCTCATTCAATTGATTAACAGTGAGATTCGCGTAAAGTGAGCCATTGTCCTGCGATATTGTGTCTCACATCTTACCCACGTAATTAGGTGGTCACCGGTGTAACTCGTCTAGTTTCAAGATGTACGAGGGGTCCATAGTCAAATAACATATAATATTATTATTTGTAATGTTTACCTACCACCAATGGTGATGCTGTTGGTAAAGTCTTCTTAGTCGATTATTGTTGATTGATGATGAAAGTGACTGCCATTTATTAAATATATTAGTTAAATTGCTGTGTGATATTTTAATGATATTAGATTTATATTAGTGATACCAAAGATTATTGTTTAGATATTATTTAGCATCAACTTTGATTGGGATGTAGGTATTTAGGTGTACGTATAAAATATGTATAATAGGTCAGTTATGTATTGTTTACTTTTTATACAGATCATATTTTTATTTTATGTATTTAATGCAGAATTACCTATTTGTATTCATAAATTATTATTCATAACAGTGTACAACGTAATATTTATTAGTTTCTTCTAACAATAAATCACAAAATATTTTTAAATCGTTGTCTGATTTCAGTCCGTTTCCCTTACCTACTAAAGAAACTTCAAATAAAAATAAATAAATTAAATCATCTGTAGCTAATGATGATGAGAAAGGTTGAGAGATAAAAGAAGCCATTATAACAATGATAAGTTAGTAAGTTCCATTTAATACAACAGAGAGGATGCGGTAGAGTCATGGTTCGGCACGAATGGGCCGAACCGGAGTGATGCCACGGCCTCATAGAAAACCCGGCGTGAAACAATGCTTATGCGTGGTCCTTCGTCGTGAGAGTGAGGTTACCGAAGGTCAAATCCTTCTCCCCGTTCTTCAATTACCCGATCTCCAAATCCCGTAATTCTTTAATGCCTAACCGTCAAAAAGGCCAGCCACACCCTTGTAGGAGTTACAAGTGGCCGGTGTAGGTGGCCCTGGGGCGATGCCGATTGCTTACCATCAGGTAATCCGCCTGCTCGTTTGCGACGTATCCCGTAAAAAAGAAGGACCCTATTTCAAATACACCAGATTACAAGTCAGCATCATTTGAGTTTGAATAGAAATTGTAATATAAAAAGGCTAATTGTATAGAGATTTTAATGCGCATTTAGAACACAACCTTGATCTACTTTTTCACAGTAAAACAATTCACCTACAAAAAGTCTAATAAACTTATGATTAGTTTGAAGAAACTCTATGTCTATGCCTCGTTTATCGAACTAGCGTACCTACTGTTGATAGACGTGATCTAAATATAGACACACAAGGGTACCAACTATTTAGAAAACGTGTGACGTTGACGTTGACATACTACGCTACTAAATTCTTTACTAAATTATCACCTTTAGTGTCTTGTTTTAAAGTTGATAATCGACTGAAGAAATTTAATAATTTCGGCTAGCTTGATGTGTGTTCTGATAAAGTTCATTATTGTAATTGTATAATCAATAGTTAAACCAATTTAAAGATATTAAACAAAAACAAAGGCTTGACTGATTATTTTTATCTCCTAAAAATGTATGTACTTATGTAAATATTAAACACTATGTGGGCACGTCACGAATTAAACGGTTTATAGATAAGAGTGTACCTAATTTGAAGTAGATTAAAGTTTAAATTCATTTTGATTTTAATTAAAGGATTTGCAATTGCTTAGTTTCTCAGTTTCGATGAATAGTTTGGTCAAGTACCTAGATGGACAAATAGAAGGTGTCTACGCTCATCAATCAATCAAGCTGTAAAAAATGGAATTCCGCCGTGACGTCACCTAAAATTAATCGTACCGCTACAGCGTAAGATACCTACTTATGATAAAAATAGATTGGTACCTACCTCGACACGTTCAATCCGGAACTAATAACTATTGGGATCTAATATAAACGAGGAGTAAACTCGTTCTGCTTTAGATCAAGTGACATTGAACTTATTGTTTGAATTGTCATTAATTATTATGTATGTATGAGTAATGTATTAAATAATCACGGTAGTAGGTATGTGTGTGTGATCGCACGCGCCCGTTATGACGCGCGGTGACGCAACGACGTCGGCGCCGTAGAACGGGTGCGGCTACTCGGGTAACTCCGTCGGTCGCCTCTGTGGCCCAATGGATAAGGCATCGGCCTCCTAAGCCGAGGATTGTGGGTTCGAGTCCCACCAGAGGTACACAACAACCTTTTTGTAACAATGTTAATTTGGAACATGTTCCTTACATTAATGTAGCCGTTTTAGTTTCGAAGCTTTTAAAACGTTTTTACAAATTCGTAAAGCATGTTTGCTGTCTTTTTGTGTTTGTTTTATGAATGTTTTGCATAAATATTTAATTTGTAAGTAAATATTAGCACTTTTTCTGTATGTTTTCTATATTTTATCGAGTTTATTCTAAAGACCACGTGTATTTTTTTCTAATAATAAGAAGAAAATAATATCGTGGCTGAATAATTAACACAAAGAGGTACCTTCGTACATAATAATATATTGTTCACCTAACTTATTATATGCTAAGCCCTGATTCATCCAACAGGTAGGTGTGCACTAGACCGGATTTATTTACAGGAAATGACATTCAAGACAGAGTAGTGATTTTTCATAGTAACCTATATTGTAAATATATGAGTAGTACATAGTTATACTTATCTATTTCATATGAAACGTGTATACGAGAATAAGTAGAGCCGCCGTAGTACAAGTTAAGATAAGCCATCATTCCGTGGCTATTTATCACGACTTAGTTCGTCACCTGTCATTCCAGGATTTCATAACACAACCGGTGACAGTGGAACGTTTCGCTCGCACATTACATCTGACACAGATAATATAATAAATATCTTACACGTACTTACATCGACGATGTGACTTGTCGTGGTGTGCGCACCTATTATAAAAGTCCCATATCGCAGGGGAAAGCTGTTAGATATGATAACGATACAATTTTATTGATAAGGACCGGTGAAGCATCGATCAGTCGATAACTCGCAGTTCGCAGTCCCTACATGCCTCGCGTCCGCACTAATCATACCTAATCTATATAATAATTAAGCTTTTGTTATGAAATTCGCTTATCTGCGGTGATTTGAGCATTTAACTTTAATTGTGTTAAGTGTAGAATTAGTTTGTATATCGTGGACGTTAAGTGTATGATGAGAATGATGGGTGAAGGCGAGATGGTGTACGGCGACTATTACAGCAACTATGATAACAACTGGTCAATCATACCGCCGGACTATGGCGCTGATCTGGGATACCAAGTTCGTCAGCCGCCTCTAGAGGAAGAATACAAATACAATTCTTATGCGTGAGTATTGAGAACATTTTTGTATGAAAATGGAAGTATTAACTTTTCAATCGTGTTATTCCGAGATACAATGGAATAACAATAGGTGCGCGAACGCCGGCGGTCATTTGGGATTCTTTGAATTAAATTCAATAAAGGGGCTCCTCGGTAACGTAATACGTCTCAAGTACTGCTAACCAAGCGACAATACATACATAAATATATTGTATAGAACTACGTACATTACGTACAGCCATCATTCTATCAGTAAATATACTAAGGACGATGTTTCAACCAGTCTCTTACCAATATGTATGCATTTACTGAAACGAAGTGCATTGCAAGACAACACGCGATCCTGACAATGTCGTTGAAAAATGTCTTGCGAACGAATTTGACTGAGTACGCTGAAATTGACTACGAGCGCGCTCAAACAACTTTATACCTTCCTTCCATCATGTTATTCATGTTATTTTCTTTATTGAAACGAATTTTCTATACGAAGACATATTACAATGAAACGTTTGTTTTCCTATTTTAGTTATTTTGCTGCTTTTTATTGAGTGTAGATATAATTGGGAGGATGTTATTATTTTGTCAAAGTGTAGGTAAAATGCGATGCGTCAACATTTTATTTTATCAGAGTTACTTTATAATTTTCCTCTCTTGATATGTTAGGAAGTGAAATAAAATAAAAAATAAACTTCATAGGTAGTTATTATTGTTATTATTTTCTTACGAAATGACGAATAACCCGAGGGTAAGCAATCGGCGCCGCCAAATAAGAGTCAGGAATTGGAGTAAGTGTCAAAATTGGGGGTGGGAGAAGGGGTGGGTAGTTAAGCCTCCGATAACTTCACTCACAAGACGAAATGCAATATAATTTTACATACTACATATGTTCAAATTCCACGAATAGACAAGACAGTTACGAATCGCTACCGTTTGAACTTCTGTACGTACTTACGTAAATAGATATACGTGTTTCTTTATAACAGGTGAATCATTTATTTTGATACACATTACATAAAATATGGGTGTGTACAGGTACCTACTTTATTTGAGGAAAAATATATTTACTTAAAAGGTAAGAATGTCGCTAGCTGACGTTAGACTAACTTTAGTCGTTGTAGAGCCATTGAGCCGTTTTATTAATCTCCAGTAAGCATTATTTCTGTAGTGTAACAAATGAAACAGCAAAGCTCAGCTATACTGAGCGTGTCATGCACATTGTAGCATTTAGTGTTGGGCTCGGAGCAACGTTTCGGTCGATCGGTTACGGTTCGCGTGCCGCACACTTATAGTCCCGTCGGCGATGAATCGGCGCACTGAGTACCATCGAGCTCGTAATCCACCAGCTGCTCACTCTCCCATGCCTTCGTGGAGCCCTTAATTGGTTTGGAAACCCTCTTCGCAGGTTAGCGTGCTTTCACCCATTTAGGCTCAGTACGCCTAACCAGATTGCCATAACGAAATATTCGTGAAACCATCGACCTACTCTATTCACTCGTAAAGGCGTACAACTTGGATAAAGGAGTTCCTGCAGCTATAAATTCGTTTTAAGTATCATAGGTGCTGACTGACGCGTTGCCGGCTGTCGTTTGTTTCTTTTTCCACAGACTAATGTAGGTCACGAAGGCGGTGATTTATGTTTATTACTCCAATATCTAAACTTAATACCCTTGAACTTACATTTCTGTAGCCACATTTCGCAGTTCATAAAGTCAGGTATTATAGAAAAGTTGTCGTGTAATTTGTTGACATTGTGCTGTTTAACTCCGGTAATGGTAGCTGGTTAGTTTGGTCATAAGGTAATTTTTTCTCGCGGGCTTGTCGGCGCTTGGTACGAAGCGCGCGACTCCTCAATACGATATTCTACTTTTATACAAATTACATTTCTATCGTGCTTACTATCAACCCCCATTATTTTATCATTAACCAATGCAAATATAAAACGATCGTCTTTTTATTTTCAGTGACTAATTCACAAAATTCACAAAGTAATTTATTTTGTTTTACTCCATGTATCATTTGTTTAAAATCCGGTTTTACTTATTGGAAATTATTTCTATGATTGATGCAATAAATAGAAATATGAAGAAACATAAGCAGTTGATGAGTGAGCTTTAATAATGAATGATTCATTAAACACATGGGGCGTAATAGATTACGAGCTAACATCTAACTACTCATACTTACACTTGGCCAATTCTGATAAGGTACTTTATGAAATCCTACCAAACAGGTATTTTGAATTTGTCAAAAAATACTTTTGAACTGATTTATATTTTAACTTAAAACTCATCTTACAAAACACGAAATTTAGCTAAACTTATCGTGAACTAGTGGTAACCTTTCATTCGATGAGTTGCACTCAATTATTTATATTCAAAATTATAATTGTGATTAATATGTAGGCGAACATTTGTTGGGTGGGAGATTACAATGTGTTTTACTAAAGCGTAGTGGCTAGTGACCCGTGTAACAGAGGGCTATTGCACCTGCCTCCCTCCCCTCACAAATCTGGCCTCGCAGCTTACCTCTTCATTGCAGTATATTTAAAACACTGAGAAAATCCTTTGACCTCATAGGAGTATAGAGACAGATAGAGTAAGATTCAGCAGAATAAGAACTTTAATAAATTGATGAAAATTGAAATATTTTTTTTATGTCATAGGTCGCCAAACTGATTACCTGATGGTAAGCAATCAGCGTCGCCTATGGACACCCGCAACGACGGAGGAGTTACGATTACGTTGTCGACCTTTTGGGGATTAGGGATTTGGAGATTTTGGGAAAGGGAACGGATTGGGGTAGGGAAAGGATTGGGCCCCGTAACCTCACTCACACGGCGAAACACAACTCTTTGGTTATTTCACGCCGGTTTTCTGTAAGGCCGTGGTATAACTCCGGTCGAGCCGACCCCTTCATGCATGCATATATGCATATGCATGCTTCAAGCATGCCTCTTCCACACTTTTATATATTTTAGATAATTGTCTAGTTCTTTTTGGTAGAGATTTTCTTATTAGTTTTTAGGTATATTCCATAACTGTATACTGTTTATATAAATTGCTTCCTTCTAGCATATAGACCAATTTCTAATTAGATTTTTACAATATTGCCTTATGATATTATTTTATGTATGTTTCATAGAGTTTGTGAAGATATTATAATATTGGTGTTTGAACAGATCAATGCCTCGCAGTAACTATTTAGTTGTCGCCCGCGTAGGTGGTGCGGCGACAGATTTCCTCTCACCGACTGGCAACTATTCAGAAATAATTTTAGCTGTATTGTTACTTAATAATGTCATTTTGTAGCGAACTAGTATTGTATCTGTATGACTTTAAAATAGAATGACTGAGTTAGATACAAGGGATAGTCTGGAATTATCTATGTCGGTCCCTTATTGACATAGACAAAACATTTTTAACTTAGGATAGGTGTTATTTTATTATATTTTTCGCATTTAAGTAAAAATAAGCTTTATAAATATATCGCATCTTGTGTGAGTGACCAACAAATTGTTATTACGGCTCTAGGTTGGAAGTGTATGTTTGTTAACGCTATTTTTTTTTAATAAACATTTTAACTATTTTTAAATACAAAACATCTACAAACTTAGTATATACTATATTGATATGCGCAGCGATGAGCGCCCACCCGATTGTAACCATAGATTTAAAAACTCATTCTCAATAAGTCAATTAAACATTTCGTGAGCTGCACGCCACTTAGGGGTTCGCTTCAATATAAATAATTGCTCTTTGTTATTGCTGCGCTTTCACGGGGAATCATATCCTTTACCCTACTTTAAGTTTATTTTAGGTATATTTAGATGGGTTTGGTATCAAATACTGGTTGGACTGGTTCTTCTAATAAGAAAATAAATCGAACCATTCTACGACATTCTTAGTTTAATATTATGGATGTATGGCTTATTGGAAAAGATAAATTCAATTTGCTGCCAGTAAGAATAGGAACGTCTTTTCTTATTGGGAGGAAATTTGTAAGATTTTTCTTAACTAACGAGGATTCAATCTCACTAATATTTAAGTACCATTGCGATACGTATGTATATCTGTAGTCAGTAATATTTAGCATCACGATACGAATTGCTTTTGTGGTCGTGCTTTGAAGACTAAAGAAATTAATTAACCTTATTTCTATTTTACTAAACTTACTACACGAAATAATCTAATGCGCAGAAAGAATTTCACAAACCTTTATTTTTTTACCCGTAGATTTGGTTACCATATACCTACAATTATGACAAGCTGCAATCAAGATGACGACTATGCTTTGACTTTTGACGAAACTTTTTTGATTATCTTCAAATATTTAGTGTTAGTGCGCGAGAGTTAGAGTCAGACTTTAATGTAGTGACTGAAAACTACTCCGTTTCATCAACTGCTTTGAGTCGTGGAACATTGTTACGTTTGCACCCACAATCCTGGCTGGATCTGTTGGTGGTCTGATGGGTCTTTGAGACAAAACGATCGGCCGGCGACTTGCCTTTCACTCGCCGTTCGCAGATCCGTACATGTGCACCAAACCTATCAATAAAATAACAGATGAAATAAATATCTTTAATATATTAAATTTGATTAACCTTTGAGAAGAAGATGTAATGTTATGTAATTTTAAACTTGAAATTAAATTCAAAATGACTTTAAATTCTATTCAAAAATTCATGTTTTTAATAAACAAGTGAATTTATTTTATTGCTGAACTCCTTTCAACTGTATAATGTTTTTTTTTATCTTAATAAATTTCATGCCAGCCGAGATATTTCCGGAAATTAATACCACTCGCACAAACAATAAGTTTATCTAGCTCGTCATAAAATAAGTTAAAGCTAAAGCGTTAGTAGCAGATGTTTGGTTTTAAGTACCTCACTTAGTTAAACAATGAACATTTAACAATAAGGATGAAACATCATTGTAACACCTTAATCCTTTTTTGCATACCTGGGAGTCGCTAGATATTTTTCACTTTGAAATATTAAATACAATAGGTTAGACTATTAAAACATATTGTTTGAACAATATTGATCTATGTCTATCAAATTATAAAGAACTTTATCGGTGTTACCTACCGGTGTCGTTCAGTAAATTACTTTTATTTTCTATTAGCTTTTGCCCGCGACTCCGTTTGCATGGAATAGTGACTTCCTGCATATTTTTTGTATAGAAACTATCCTATGTCCTTTCTCAAGTTCCAAACTATGTCTGTGCTAAATTTCACAGAAATCGGTACAGTAGTTTAGGCGTGAAGAAAAGACAGACAGACAGAGTAACTTTCGCATATATATAATATTAGATTGGATTTATGGTGGGGTTCGGCATGTTTATTTAACTTTGGTGTGTAATAAAGTCACATTACTTTTTGCCGACGGCTTCGTTTATAGTACCAAGGTAAAAACCTGCCTTCTACCCTACTACATTCTAGGCTGTCTTTAAGGTAAATTTCAGTCACATCAATATTTTAAGATTTTTAAGATTTAAAAACATTCATCCACACATAAATTTTATTTGCGTTTTGAAGTTTAGTGAGATTTAACTTCAACTACATATACACCATTCAAAGGTTATGAAAATCTAAGTAAAATAATATAAAATGTGAATTCTTTATGATTTGAAATTGAAATTGATTATATATTGTTTATTTCTTAATCTACAAACGTTTTACCTAATCGTTGATTATTTTTTAAAGACTATATATTAGCAAAACAGCCGAACAATCTACGTAACGATGTTCTTATATTTATTAACATTCGGTTTGATTGTATAAGTAAATTTCTTATTATAATATTAGGCGTCACTTGTAAGATATTACCGACTTATAATCTATCCTTATGCCAAAATAGAATTGCACATCTGTAAGCAGTAAAACAAAATGCTATTTTTTATAAAAATTTATTATGCGGCGCTACATTAGTTTTTCTGACTGTGTCTCTGAGGACCTTATCGTAGTTTTTTATAAGTACTGCTATTTTCTCTTACGTCGTCGTGGTCATTTGGTTGAATGTTTGATCAATATATTTAATGGTTTTGTAAAGTACAAAGTACCAAAAACAAAGCATAGCGTTTTTATTGGAGGGGCAAAACTTGTTAAATACTACAAACTATGTACGGCAGGGCAAAAAACCACCCGTTCCGTCGCTTGCTTCCACAGCCCAGGTTTGGAGCAAAGCGGAGCGGCTTTCACCCGCAACCGTAGCTTAACATCAGCTGTAGTTCCTTGAGCTACGCTACGCGACGTAACAAAGCACAGACGAGACAGCATCATAATTATTCCCCAGATAGCTTTTATCTAACCATTGAAAAATCAGCCGTAAGTGAATTTAATTAGAATATAGTTTTCGGCTTCGAAACTTGTTTGAAGATGATGCTTATCTATATAAATATTATAAAGAGGTAAAATATGTCAGTTTGTATGGAGAGGGTAATATTTGGAACCGCTGGTCGGATTTCCAAAATTCTACGCTATAGGCTATGAAGCATACATAGTTAAGTATAAAGTTCCATAGTTTCTGTAGGTTTTGTTCGATTGGTGGTCGAGTGTTCCGCGGCCGAACTTATTAATTGTCAGTATGCAACTACTTATGTATAATGTAAGCGCAATGTTTGACACAATTAAAATTTAAAAATTTTATGATGAGGGGAATATTCCATCGTTTGTTTTCTTTCTTTTTACAATTGCTCTCTGCATTGTTCTCAAATGCAAGTTTAATAATGTACATATTTTAAAGAGTAACGATAGAGTTTTTTATACTTGTTCTGCTCCATTCGAATCTATACTTGGGAAAGGCACATTTTTTTTTCCAGCTGAGAAAAATGCCTTACGCATACACACACCGCCCGGGGAGACGGTGAGGTTATGTGGGACTTGCACCCACTAAAAAACTCAGCTTTCGTGCCGTCTTCTGCCTTTTGGGAGAAGCCACGAGGACCAAAAACGACGATCGTGACCTCTCGGCAGTGGCTGGTCGCCTCCTTCTATTGGCGTTCCATCGCAGCAGCAGCTCGTGCAATGCAGGCAGCAATTCCCCGTTCTTCTATCCACAGGTTGTTGCTAGGGCGGCATCTGGGAGGCATAATGCCTCCGACGCCTACCCACCCTCCGGCGACGAGTTGAGTCTGCAAGAGCAGCTGTCTCTCCGACTGGGAGAGGCACCTAGCTTAACACTGTCGAACTGATTGACGGACTATTATTCAATTTTCGTTTTAAAACGTACGTGTTTATGGTTTAGTTGGAACAAAATTAAATGATCTTTGACTTTCACCAAGAAAAATGTTTCAGTATTGTTTTCTAGGTTGGACAAAGTACTACCTACCTATTGAGTGGGTCGAGTTTCAATAATACATGAGTTTTTAATATTGATTCATATTTCGCTCATAATTACGAATTACTCATATCAAATGTTCGCTATTAGTTGCAAACCTGGCTAAAATATTTTAATTTAGAAAGAGTTCATTGACACAAGGATTGTTGTCGTCAAACTTGTAAGTACATACTCCTGCAGCGTTGACGATATCATCATAGATTAATACACTATTATCTAAAAAAGTTTTCCGTCGGCTAGATTACTAGATTTATACATATATAAATCTAATATAATTAGGTCATAAGCTAAGTATATTTTTAAGTGATATATATCCGACCTATGTAAGTACTTCATTAGTAGATATTTTCTAATTACTCTTATTTTAATAATTTTGCATGCATTCTAAGTTTTTGTAGCATCACGGAGCTGAATATTAAGAATGAAGTTAAGGTATATTAAATACCCGATCATACAATTAATTTAATTGATTTATTTTTTACTGCATATTTACACATTATCACACTGGTCGACTATTTTAGTAATAAAGTTGATACTTTGTCTTATACAGAGTGGCATTTTGAATGAGTGACTTATTCAAGGACCTGATTCTGGGGCTCAAATAACACAATCAATATAGAAATCTCATTTTTTTTACTTCTCCATGCTATATGACCAATCAGCTGATGCGATTTGCATGGGAAATAAATTTATTTTTGAGATTGGATTCTGGTCTCGTGGCAAAAGTTGTAATTGACCACCAAAAACAACACCCTCCCTTTTAGTAATAATGATAAATAAAACAATATTAAATTCTGTTTTAACAAGCTCTTAAATAAGTAGGCACTCTCTTGCCATAGATTTTAATTCTTTTGTCAAGTAAAATATTATTCACTTTTATTATTTCAAGATTCGAGTTCCAACATGTGGCAGGCAGTGCCAATTTTAGCTTGAAAGTGAATAGTTAAACAAAAACCTTTTTGTAATAAATGAAGAGTCGGAAACAATTGGTGCGCACACGTGCAAGTCATAAACTGATAACAGTGGCGTCCTCTACCTGTTTGTGGAACACTATTGTCTACTTTCAAATCTTTGAATGCGCTAAGTACTGCAACATGTGCAAGAGATTTACCGGCGACCCGGCTAATGTTTAAGATATTCTATAAGAAGTTAGTTTTGGTAACCGTTTGTTAGTCACGTCCTTGCTGATTTTAAAGCCAATGGTAGTTTAGTTAATTTTTACAAAATATTAATGTAGAATTAAGCAGGTGTCATATTTGATACAAAACTTATTTAAAGCTAAATTATTCTATGCCTTTCGTCCCGTGACATTTAATACATAGAAGTATCACAAGACTTTATATGCGATCGTAAAGAGTGTTAAACCTTTACAAAACTTAAAAAAATATAAACTACTATTGTAAAAATCACAATTGTACCTATAAAGAGGTATTTCAAATAAGTAAACGGAATCCCTAAATACACTTTGAACTACGCTTTGTTAACAAAAAATCATTTCAAATATTTTGCTAACATCAGCTTACATGGGCTTATTAAAACACTCTAAATGAAAATCGTTATCCGGGCATTTGGAGCGGCGTCCATAACGAACCCGGCTTCAACAATGGGCTTAATGCTCGCACTCATTACAAAAAGCGACATAACATAACGCGCTACGTCGAAAGCTCCTCTATTCAAAGTGTATACTCCAGTTTTTTTTGTTGGGAAGGCTTCGGCCGCTTCGCTATTGGCTGATGGGAATCCCGCCCAGTCGGCGGCGCGTCGCTATTGGCGGAGGTCAGTGGAGCACCCTCGAGGCTAGTCCGGAGCTGAGTAGGCTGTCGAGGCACGAGGGCGGCGCGGGGTGTTCTTCACCCCGAGCACCACTCGAGGGTTGTTTAGTGCGGACGCGGCGTCGCAAGGCGCAGCACGTGTTCTCGCGAGTGTAGCTACAGCCGTCAACATTATCCCGAAAGCGAGTTCTCCCGGTCGGGAGATGAAGTGCGAGGAGGGCGAGAGTGCGCGGTCACCGCCGCCGCTGCTGCCGCCGGCATCCTTGCTGGCCTGGAGTCCCATCCTACTGCCGCCGTGGGGCCCTGCCTTCCTGCCTGCTCTATATCCAGCGGCCTTCCGATCCGCGTTTCCCGGGTGAGACACGGATACGTGATTTTAATTAGTGAATCAAAGTGATCCAGTGATTATAAGCGTTTTAATCAGTTTATGCATTATTAAAAATTAAACAACTATTTCACGTTAATTTACAAAATAGGTTTAATTTGCAGTTCTATTTAAGTAGTTATAAGTAGGAGCTTACGTATAAAGTTAGGCTAATTATGAACATTCACAACAACAAAGGCCACTTGCCGCCGGTTCTGGGCCCGAACAGAACATTTCCGTTCCACTTGTCTGGCACCATAATCCACGTTTCGAAGTATCGTGATCGTGACATTCCTTGTGATAGTTTTTGCACCTCTCTTAGTGAGAGGTTGTTAATAGTGTTGTTTACAACCTGCAGGCTGTTATGTGAGCCGCCATTGATCGCGTCACGTTCGGGCCTCGGTCCGCGGGAACCTCTCGGCTACATGTAACACTGATTGACACAGCATTTGGTACTCTCGTGCAATGTAAAGAAACCTTCTATTATTCAGGTCACGTATTCTCGAGAGGTGCTCTCCGACAACAATAGACGAATTGATGGAATTTCAAATGTTTTCTTTCAATTACACCCCATCAAGACTTGTCGCTTCTTAAGATGACGTGACTTTTCGAGTTAAACATACGTTCTGAGGATTGTGTGCTCGACAACTTTGTGATTAGGTTGAATGGGCGTTTTTTTTAAATATCGGTTACTGTGCCTTCTATTAGGCATACGAAATGTATTATCAAATATAAAAGTTTGATTAAGAATTTTTACATCGCAATCGCTATACCTAAAGATTTTCATTTCGTCTCAGAGTTCAGGATTTTTTTCAGAAGAACGTTGTTTCTTTTATTTTGTCCAAAGTTTTAATTTTGTCACCATTGAATCGAAACTTTAGCTAATTTCATGGTTGACAAAGTTCATGTAGTGCGCGTTTAAATCTTTTCTTCATAAAACTGCAATTAATTAATTAGGCACTCGTAATTGCTTAGTTTATTAAGTTTTGTTGGAAAATTTTGTGTTATTATTAAATAACTGCCTTCTAAGTTTGTTTGTAATAGGTGTAAGTTATAGTCGGTTTTAATATTCATGTAAAATAATGAAACTTTTCTTTGTCATAGGTTGCTGGATAGTATGAAAATGCCGGGACAACGGCCTGGGTTCCAGATCTCTGATATATTAGGGTTGAACGAGGGTAAAGGGTTAGAGCCGGCACCAGCGCCGGGAACCCTCGGCGGGTGTTCCTTGGAATTGCCACCATACGCGCCGCCCCACCACCCCTACTCACATGAATTATTGAGGCACCACCAGCCCTGGCTGTCTCTAGATCACCACGATGGACATAACAGCTGTAAGTATAAATTAATTGTAATAATTTTATGCCGTCGGTGACTATATTGAAATAGAAAACTGAAATAAAAAACACAGAAATTAGTCAGATCTGGCCAGGCCAAAATCTGACAAATTTCTGTGTTTTTTGCTAGTCAATTCATGATACATAGTGTAAAATGTTAGGAAATGCGTTTTCTGATCAAATTTTTGGTATAACGTAATCATTTTGATAGTATTTAAAATAATGGACCGACCATTAGAGCGATGCCGTCGCGTGGTATTCCATTGATAGAGACCACAGTGTTTTTTTAATCGTGTTTAAGAAATAATTATGAAAATATTTAATAATAATATTTGTATCCTCCTATCTTTCGCTATTTTAACTACAATTAAAAGTAAACTCACAACAAGGACTTACTTTAAATAATACTTCAGTGAAATTGAATCACAAGTATCAAAATTGTCGTATAGAGTTTAGTGCAAACAGTATCTAGTGTTGATCTAACTTTTATATTTGAAGAGATTGTAGGTAACGGTGCTTCATTCAAGTAATTAGCTTTCAATGCAAAGTGGCCCAACAAACACTATTCTAGTAGTGCGAAGTGCTCCTATTGGCTATGGAGTATTGAACCATACTATTTGTTACTATTATTCTTTTGAGTATTGAATTATATGCGTTACTACAATCGTTTACTTCTAATAACACGTTTTGTATTTTATGTTTATGTATTTAATACACTGCAGCCTGTAGACATTATATATAAAAAGAAAATTAGGGAAGTTATTCTTAGCTGCGTTGTTATTTTGATAATTTGTTTGCGATTACAATATAGATTTTTTGTAGTTAAGGCCTATGCTGATGACGCGCATTTTGTCCGACGGACTTGATCAATGATCTGGATGGACCGTTCCAGTCTCAGTTACTTAATCAATCTTTTTCCAAGGGATTGACAAAAAGGTCTTAAATTGATATTTCCAAACATGTTACTAAATGCACGGGTTACTAAAATCATAAATACTTGGTACAATTGTTTTCAAATAACATTATTATTTGTATTTCTTTCAACATACGTTTAAAATGTGTAGTAACAGATTATCAGGCTGATAATCGGATAAGATTGTTGAATATGTGGTCTTAGTTACTAGTTTATAAAGTCGACATCTGTTAAGATATTTCTGTCCGGAGATAAAATGATAAAAGGGTATCAGTTGGACCACCATAGTATAGCAGCGTGATGGGTGACGTGTATAGTATCAGTGTTTTATCCACAATCTATAAACAAATAGTGTGAAAAAATACAGTGGTATTTTTCCATGGAAGCATTGAAGAAGCAACGGCAAATTAATTCTGTTTCCATTGCTTAATTTTTTTAAGGCAGTGGACGATTAACCTTTTTTAATAATGAAGGATTATACATGATACGTAGTCTAGAGTACGAATATATAATTAAGTAGGTGTACTGTGTAAAATTTGATCTATTGGAATCAAAGCAAGACAAACTAAATCCGATCTATCTATCAGGCATTTATCTCGGTAAATTGTCATCTCTGAATTATCATACACAAATAAGTTGACCCACTCGAAAGTAATGTGTATTCGGTAGGTGTTGGAGAGGCCGAGATTATTTTTTGAAATGCTCCTTCATTCAAGTGCCTTCAACCGCTAATCTGGTGTTGTCATTAATTATTTTTATCGCTTATCTAACACTTTCGGCTCATTCTATATGTACTTGTGCATTGGATTGCTTGTAACGCCGATTCTATCTGGCGTTGATTGATTGGCTTTTTGAGAGTTTTAGTGGCTCATTACCGTCGATGTTGTCCATTCAAATATCCATTGAAGTGGACGCTTTGACCGTGTGAAAGTTTTAAATGATTAGCATAAATGCTGCACCCTCAGTACGTATGATACTTACTGATCTCGTAAATTATATTTAATTACGATGGCATTAAGTCATTACTACCAATTAAATAATAATTTTAAAGGAATAATAACAACACGTTCTCGATAAGCTAAATATTTTCCGATTGCCGTAACATTAGAATAAATCGAGATCAATGTGAGCGGATCTTGCAATGAATTCCAAAATAAATAAAATCTCATGAGTCTTAAATGGGGTTGTATACAGTTCACGCCCTGTGGGGTAATTTGGGGGTAGCTACTAGTGATTGTTTGTCGTGAGGGGTGAGACGTGGAACGAATTTGTCACCAATAGATGGTGATGGGGCTGGGAGCCAGCTGTCGAGCTATCAATTACACCATGTTTGCGGCTGTTAGGGATGCTATTTGTTCTTTATTCGATGACAGTTATAGATTTTATTGTGTCGACTTCCATTTACAAAGGTAGCGTGCAATATGGACGCTACTTCCCTGTTACGAGTGATTGATGAATTAGGATTAATTATTGATAAATTAGTATTTTAATTTAGAATTTTCTTACATTTAGTTGTTTGTTTAAAATACATACTTATGAAGCAGTTGTTTTTTTGTTTCTGTATGATTTAAAGACCTTTGAAAGCAATGGTAAATAATAAAGCGACTCGTAATTTTATACCGGTGTCACAGAGTAACCCACTAAGTTCGGAGATAAAGAGAATCCGTGACTCGATACTTTTATTAAATTTCCTGGGTGCGCTTATGAAGGTAAGCAGGACGATCGTTGAACAAAAGCTGGCAGCTGGCAGGGGTGGGTGTGGCACCCGACCCCCTGCTCCCTCCCTCCCGCGCGAACATCCCCGCTGTCCACCACGCCCAGCCAAGCTCCCGCCCGCCCGTATTATCATATCCGTGTGAAACAACTAAACGTTCGAGGGGTGAATACTGAACAATGTTGTATTTGCTGTGATTTTTTTTACATCCCATTATTTGTTGGAACATGGCACACAGTTAGAGTTAAATAGAGCGTTACCCTCGAAGAGATTAAGTGGATCGGATGAGAGTGTTTGGAACAGGCGACTCGGTTTTATTATTTTAATGCTACTTATTGTTTCCGATGATTTAATAAACTCGTTGAAACTTTCTCACTCTTAAAATGTAGACAAGTAGAATAATGATTTATGTCCTAGTTTATGTTTTATGTATTTAACAATTTATTAATAATAATTTTCTTTTGTCATAGGCGTTGTGGGTCAACAAGCGAGTCCGGATAGTACATCTCGTGCTTCGGAATTATCTTACGTGGGGCCACCAGCCTCGTCCCCACCAGTAACGGACGTGCGTCACGAGCACGAACATGACCACGATGACGAGCACGACATCGACCACGACGACGAGCATGACCACGAACCGACCGTGAATCCTGGCTCCGACAACCTCGCACACAAGAAACGTAAGCGACGTGTACTTTTCTCGAAGGCACAAACTTACGAACTGGAACGACGGTTCCGTCAGCAGCGGTACCTGTCAGCTCCCGAGAGGGAACACCTCGCCAGCTTGATACGGCTGACGCCGACACAGGTGAAGATTTGGTTCCAGAA